ATGAGCAGTAATATTTTTGCTATGAATGTCAACTTCATGAGACAAATGATAGGAAGCTGTCTCTCCACTGGAAACATAGCAAGCTAGTTTAAACGTCCAGATATGTTTCCGAATTAGTGATGGATCATTTGGATCAACAGTTGCATAATATAATACGTTACTATAGATGTTTGTTCCATCTGCCATCTAGAAATCAAACATATACATTTACCAGTATATTCACAATATGAACAATATCAAATACCACCATTGTAATTAGCTTAAATTAATTATATTCATTAACTGATTCTTAAAACATTAGATGGGAACAGTAATATACCGTAACATATATTTCTACAGAATAATCTACTGCTTTGCTTCTAGACAATATGTCTGAAAAATATGTAGTTATTCACCTCTTCGCTAGTATTGCAAATCCTAAAACTCTGTTCATACCAAAGTTTGTTCTCGTGAATCGACCCCTTACATTTCTCTGAACCCATGTATATGTCTATTGGTTTAATACCAGGATATATCAACTGTAGAGTGTTGAGGTCAATACTTATATTCCAGCCATAGCTTGTACATTGCGCATCAATAGAATCCTCCAAAATGTATGATCTTTCTGATTTAATAGATTAATTAAATATATATCTATGATTAAACCACTCATAAAACGACAAATACTGTAATTAAATACAGTTCGTAACAAAATAAAAACATTCTTCATATAATACAACAGACAACGAGTACTTTTTTGGAAATTTTTAAAATGAAAAACAAAATGCATTGTTTTACAGGCACAACTAGTGCTTGTAGTGTCAGTATTTTATATTCTAATAATGTCTAAATATCAATCAAGAATCGTTCTGGATGATTTTATGTTTTGGAAAATATTTGGCTTTATTCTTTTGAATCCCCTGCTTCTGTTTGTTCTTAAAGCTACAGAATACAGCCAACACACATTAACATTGTGACGATTTTTTGGTTTCGTTAACTAAAACTTCCTTTTGTTCATCGTGCAATAAGGCAATAAGAACGAACGTACTTGACGTCGACGTTGTACTGTCCAGTGACGGTGATGATGTAACATTAACTGATTTCGTTGAACTTCGAAAAAGATTAAACGTCGTCGTCTGATCTAGAATTTATAAATATCTAATAAATTATATGGTTTACTTTATATTAGAATGTTCTATAAATGACGGTTAAATAAAGACAAAGCATAAATTATGTCTATTCAACAAGAAGCTGCTGAAAATAATATGACCTAGCAAGTACCTTTGATGTAACCTATTATCAAGGCCGTAAAACAGAATAAGGAAAGAGTGGAAGATAGAGCGGGAAAGGGGTGATTTTCGTTGTAACTAGTCCAAGTTGGAGCGAATGTATTGGAACATTTTAAGCAATAAATATACACACACACAGACGACAAAATTGATTATCGAAAATATTTTATAAATATTTAATATGTCTCGTTTCTTGGGTAAGGACTTAATCATAATTCTAAGGGAAATGCAAATTATGTTTGATAGAAAATGACAAATCATACAGACTGAGATTGGATGATATTGTCATAGTTAAGCTGTATGTATTTGAGATAATTTAACTATGCATAAAACTAAAACATACAAGTTGTTGAAGTAGATGATGTCGTTGGTGTCGTTGAAGATGAATCAGTTGTCAACTCAGCTGAAATAAAGTAGCATTGTAAACTTAATAACTAGCATTTCTGTTAAAATATCAATTATATCCTTTCGGTCAGTTTATTTCTAATACTCATATTTCTCACTTCTAAAAATCCACCTTTTAACAAGTAAGTGATTAAAACATCTACAGGCTATTTTATTTTGGGTTTACATTTCGACTTTGCTTTATTGACTGGTCAGTACTCGTATGAATAATTCTGGAAATATTGTACAGAATATGCTATATCTCCGATACTTACGATCTTTGATTCCTGCATTTACAAGCTGGGTTCTGTCAATCGCCCAGAAATGAATTCCTGTCATTTGTATGTTGTTATTTACATTTCTGTGGGCATGGCTACATCCAATAACCAAACCAACGATTTTGTTGCCAGAGTTACTTTTCGGTCTTGAGTTTGAACCAAGTGAATGACCATCGACGAGTAATTCTACCCCTAGGTGTTTGTTCCAGGTGATCTCAAAATGTTGCCACTTATGTAAGACAGGCTCATATTTGGTGACTAATGTCCACTTTTGTGTAGTTGTGCTGACTATGTAAACAAGTTGTTTATTTGTGTAATATAACGTAATGCCACTATGTCCTGGAAGATTTCCTCCACTCGAAACAATGTACGTGTTATTTAAGAGGTGTCCAAAGTTGACGTCAAAACTATATGTAAAACCATCATTACATAGGTTAACATCAGTTATACAGGAATTCTGTCCTTCAGTATGATTCATTTTAATGCAGCTATCCGTGCCATTTATAGTTACAACTGGTGTTTTACCTACTAAGTCCAAATGCACATTTCCAGTTGCACTAAACTGTAACTTCGATGTAGTTGTAATAACATTGTTTATAATATTTACGAATGTCAGATTTGTTGCGAAAATTTCATCAGCTAAAAACAACAACATACATTTATGTTACAAACAGTTTTGCTATTTAGACAAACATGAAATATGTTATTTGTATATTTTATTTTTGCAAATCAGTCATAAGAAAGCAAAATAACCACCACTAGACCAATATTGTAACATAAGATCGAAATTAAATGAAAGTCTTAGGCAAAAACAAAACCACAACACGTTACTGCATTGATCATCTAATGATCATTTTATACAAATGCTTCGTTATTACAAAAGGTTCTAATATATCAAAATAAAGTGCTTCATTATATTTGAGATTTTGAAGATGGTGATTTTTGAAGTATATATAATTGTAGAATTTAACATGCTGGTTATATATCTTATAATACAAGTTTTTGACAATGATGGCTTGTATTGAAGCAAACTAACATGAACATACTAGTGTAAAAGTTTACCCGATTTTTCACATCGATTTCCAACGAAACCAGAAGGGCAAAGACATATATTTTCACCCATACATGTGCCACCATTCTGGCACCAACTTAGTGAACATAATTCTGAAATGATAAAGGACACAATTATATGGTTTGTCTATAGTTTTAGCGTACTTGGTTCCATAAACGAAATGAACACATTCTCATTTGTAAGCTACACATTATTGTTGATAATTATTTCAAATAATATGAGATGTATCTTCACCGCCCACTCATAGTTTGCAATATTTGTCTAGACTTTTTCAAAGTGCTTGAATTGGTGTTGACAACAATAAGAAAAACAAGTGATTTAAGCATTTTCAATTCCTTATAGGTCCACTATGCCCCAGAAGGGCTTTATATTTTTATTTCTAAAAAAGCTTTTTTTTAACTTTTAAAGTCTTGTTATTGCTAACTTTTTAAAAATGAGTCATTTGCATAATACTACATTGTTTACAATTTGCTTCTTGTATGACAAAAAATAACATTCAGCGCTACTTTCTTCAGATAATAAGCATCTTACATGCTCAAAATCCATTATCTACACAGGATAAAACTCACGTTTGCCAAGAAAAAACTTATTTGTCTCTGAATAATGTTCCTTTTACTTTGACCATTTATAAGCATTCAATCAGATTTTATACTTTTTATTTAATAATGAAATGACTCAACTATCCAAAATTGCATTAACAAAAAAATAAAGTCATGCCTTTCGGATTACAGCCTTGGACCTCCAGTTTAAAACAAGCCCTACCAATCCATTTTGAAGGTATTATACGGATATTATCTGTGACAACAACAGGTTGAGTAGTTACAGTAAAGATGTGTGTGCTGTTCATTGCAGGTATGTCCTAAAACAGTAACAAAACCGATTGTCTACAATAATGTACAGTGTCGCATTTAACAACATGGTTATATGATGAATATTCTAAAGTTCTTAACAAAGCTAACACTTAATGTGCCGACGTGTTATGAATTTGTCCCGTAGTGGTCTTCACGCTCCGAGATGAAGGTTGAATAATCCTAACAAAACTGTGTAGTTTAATAAGTCTGCTGAAAAATGATAAAAGCAAGTATCTTAATATACTAACGGTGGCAAATGTTCTGAATCGCCGTGAAGAGTCAATGGGTGATATATACTGCAACTCGAATTCTGTCATTATTTTCTGATTGCCTTGGTCGGACCACATAAAACTGAACACACTGATAGCTTTAGGTTGGTCAAGTTGAATCTCTACCCATGGATGATAATCACCCAATGCTGGACACCATCCTTTCTTTGAATCGGCTAAAATGAATACAAATGTTATAACAAAGTGGGGAATAAATATTTTACAAATAAATCTACACATTAATTATTTAAGCTCGTATGTTCCAGTTAGTTCGTCTATTTTCACCTTTTTAGTACAAATTATTAATACCAGCATACAATGGACGCACATGTAATGAGGTTTTAATGTTTTGGACCTGGTAAATTTCATGGTTTCGAGCTAAACTGTGTTCTCTCGAGTGTAAAACTGTTAATAGCCAGTTTTAATAGACCATTGGTTCTATGCGAAAATTCAGCGGCACCGTTTTGACTGCAAATGGGCATATCTATAATTCTCGTAATTGTCTAAAACAAGTACTAGTAAGTAGTTTTGTTAAGTTAAATGTTTTCGATATATTAAAATTAAATTCATTAAACATTTTCAAGTTAATCAATGCAACCGGCGCATTTGCATATAAATATTTAAAACATATAATAATAATAATAATAATAATAATAATAATAATAATAATAATAATAATAATAATAATAATGAACCTCGGATTAATATTAAGACAAATAATTATATATTTCAAATCATCCTCAATTGAACTTTTACTGACCGGCATTTCAACATCTAAGAGTGTGTCGATTAATTTTAAGCTTTCGATGAATAATTTAAAGTCAATGTTAGTAAGGCCAAAACCTCTTGATAAGAATGTAAAGATGTATGAAACTTACAGTTTCCAAGTTCTCCTTTGTTGTATACAGGGTCCTGTGACGATACCTTAATATCGTCTGCTCCGATAATACCAGTCGATAGCCCGAGGTTTTCCGGATGACATTCTAAAAATATTTAAAACTATATGTCAAACCAAACATTACAAATGAGTATTAAATCAAACATAGGTCAACAATGGCTGTATATAAAGTCAATATATGTGGCATATGTCGTATTTCGGATTTTTTTTATTTACAGCTATCTCATTATGTAACATTATATTTGCTCATATATACTACCTTTGTTTTCACAATTGTTTCCGAGATATCCTTGAGCACATTGACATGTATCCTGCATCACACAGATTCCGTTGTTTAAGCACCCTCCTGGACATACTTCTGTAAATTTTATATAAACTGCTATATATTTTTCTAAAAGTGTTGTCTTTCATATGAATAATTTTTATAACCATGAATAATGGCATATGAGTATTTTGTAATTTCAAGTTTTATATACATTCTAATACGATGAACTATCCAAATTACAACCAGATTACAAATAATCAGTTTACAAATTGGATCTAACACTTAAATTGCCAGTATACCGTCAATTGGGCATCCAATCAAATCAATCTTTAAACACGAGTCACCATGGAAACCCTGTATTGTGAATTGTAGTTTCCTGACTGCAATACTTTGACCAAAATCAGTCTGTACAGTTCCTGGTTGAGACATCTGAATCTCCTTGAACATGAAAGGAAACATTTTTGTTAATCTTTACAAGGAATTACTTTTACCAGGAGGTATTTTACGTTTCAGTGTAAATTTTGTCCTTATGTTTTAAACTGACAAGATCTTTCACATGCATTGATGGTTTACTTCTGATACATATTTCGAAATTGATAATTATTCAAATTAAATAATGTATGAATGTCGGGACGACTTCTTGAAAATAATCTCAAAACATAAATTAATTTTTAAAAAAGCAGAAGTTTCGGATTTTACGCTTGTGAAGAAACCACCTCCACAACATGTTTCACGTCATATTAAATAAAAATGTTGTAACTAAACGCCCAACAAACATTTTGTTTTTCAAGATTAGTAATCAATCATGTAAATATTTATACGTATACGGTATGTTTGCAAGATTATGAATTCCAACAGAGTCTTAAAAAACTGTTCAACCGACCAATTTTCAAAAAGGCCACATTGAATCATTTTTGCAAAATATAACTTAATTCATGTTTTTATGCTTAATATATATTTAATTTATACCAATACATTATTTATTTTACTCATATAGTACATTAACTCGTATAATATTTTGGTATAATTGTAATCATGGCATTTTCCACATAACTATAAAGAAACTGTTAAACTGACCAGTTTTCCTGTCTGCAAGGGAAAATTCACAAAATTGTTGACATATCCCCCATTAGGTACATATTTCACTAATGTGTTTCTTGAATAATTGCCTCCGACATCACTGACGAGAATGGCACGTATACCATATGATTGTTTAAAATCAACATCAATGTTTGGTGAACCATTGTGTTGATCCGGGCACCAGCCAGCTGATTTGTAACAAAATGAAGCACACGTAATGATTTTGTAAAGTCAACTAAGTAATGTTATATAAACTACGAGAAAGAAATGATAGAGATACAAAATACAAAAACAAGACAAATTAATTTTATTTGTTTTGATGTAAATTATTTTTCCTATGTTTCTTATTTGGTAAAATTTAATTTTGAATCAATATTCTGAAACAGAACGAATAACAGCCATTTTTGTTATAACCTTCATGATATGTGTAAGATTCTTAAATGTACTTTGCTTTTAACACACACATTAATTATTTATTAAAAAATAAACATAAACATACCGGTAAACATGTCATTTGCATTGTTAATCGTGGTCTCGCTTGACGCATGAAATTCGAAATCATTTATAAAGTTTGCATTACTGAACTTAGTATCGCAGCCTGAAATACAAATTAAGACGGGATCAGCAGAAATAAATCGCTCTTTTATGACAAAAGTTGCAAATTGCTCTTAGGCTGATGAAGGTAACACAATTTAATTCATACGTGATTCTTTATGTTACCTGGAGTGGCTCTTTGTTCATTTGTTCAAAAGTATTTGCACATATTCAACAGGAGGAAATTCAGTTAGATTTTCCTGATATACAATATTGGAAAAAAGAAGATCTATTTGATTTGTCAAAATTTTCCTGGAATACCACCTTTTTTTTCTTACGACAAACTATTTACGCAATTTTTTTTTTATAGTTTTATCAAATACATTTTACTGTTTTTTCCCAATGGAAAATATAAAGCTGAATAAGATCCAGTAGGATTAAGCAAAACTTTACCCAGATAGCACATATTTTGGCGAAAAAGATATTGATTGAAAAAAAAAACATCTGAAAAATGATTAAAACAGGGTCAGTATATATGTCAGTTGATTTATATCTGATATAATATAGCAAATATTTCCAAGGCCTCTAAGACAGTTTGGTGGAAGAAATTTCTGGTGGCGGGCTGCTGAATATAAAACAAGTATATTTTTTTCAAATAATAATACAACTATGTTATTATAAGTCATTGAGATAAATCAAAATCATAATAATTTAACAAAATGTTGTAAAAAAAATAATGTAACTGCTCATTATATTTGAAATTTACCTTTTAGTAAAATTTATATACATAAAGGCCTTTTAGTTTAAACTAAACTAAAAATGTCGCTGATGGAGCTTTGTGACATATGATATTTGATTAGTAAAGAATGGAAAAAATAAAATATTAATGGAGCATGCCTCCAGATGAGCCAAATATTTCAAGAAAAAATTGAGAAAACTGTACTCCGAAAGTATAAAACATAATAATTTATGTGTTATATGTGAAAAATCACTGATTTTGTTGTATTTATCACCATATTTCTACTGCAAAGCATTAAGAGATATTTTTGCTCATTTTGACCTCCTTTTAGTAATTTACGAGGATTGTAAGTGTCGTTTGCAATGTGTAAATAACTTTCTTTGTTCACTTAGCAATATTATCATCAAAAAATGAGCATGGATTTTTGAAGATACGCTGCTTTAATGAATGGCACATTGTCAAAAAAATAAACTAAACTTACGTCCAGCACTTGAAACACCAAACTTGTAAACAAACAGGAAAATTGACAATAACCAGTTCATCGTTTACTCCACACGAGTGTTCTAGAAAAGGAAGTTGCAACAATTATGAAATTTTATTTGAGAAATGCTACTTACTAGAAGTGGACATTTAGATTGACACGGGTATAAAATGGATATTTCAAACAGCTTTCAATGACTTTTCATCATATTTCAATATCAAAGTGTTATACTTCACCTTTTAAAATTACTGAGCTCAGATTTAAATAAAAGAATTCTTAAATCCCTTTAAAACATTTCCTTCGTTTTAATCATTTTCGCCTGAACTTTAATAACTGTGCTATCTTTTGATAAAACTTACAACTAATGTTCACGTAATCTTTTCTACATGTATCTTGAGCTTAGATAAAAGATGAACTGTATGTACCAAAAAGGTGTTGATATGATTTTATGATAATGCACGTTTGTAACGTCGCTTTTCATTGGATAATCGTGACGTTTATATCAACTATAAACACGGATGGTGTTAACTTATGAAATAATTTCATTTTTTTTGCTCAAAAAAGAGAGTTTGCAGTATTGGTCATAAATTGGTCATAAAGTTTCTTGGCTTGGCATGTAACATGGCTGTTTATAACCCTCGCGAAATGGCTCGGGTTATAACATGTAAACAACCATTTATATAAGGCCATATAACCTTTCAAGAATCTATATAACCAACAATATGATATAGGCAAGCTGTTATAATGAATATATGAGAATGGTAAACAGTTACTATTTTTCTGGTTTTCAAATGGTATAATATTGCGATAATATGATGTTATAATATAATGATTATTCAATTGATATAATAATACCAAACATAATGAAGTGATATGATAATAATAACGATATTATGATATTGCATTTTTAACATGAGGGCATTATAGCAATGTTGCAATTTCGACAATGCTTATGTGACGGACGGTACTTGATAACATAGTTTATATGACAGTACTTGACAACATAGTTTATATGACGGTATTTGTTACCAGGGTTTATATGACGGTACTTGATGACATGATTTATATGACGGTATTTGTAACCAGGGTTTATGTGACGGTATTTGTAACCATGGTTTATATAACGGTATTTGTTACCATGGTTATATGACGGTACTTGATGACATGATTTATATGACGGTATTTGTTACCAGGGTTTATGTGACGGTATATGTTACCATGGTTTATATAACGGTATTTGTTACCATGGTTATATGACGGTACTTGATGACATGGTTTATATAACGGCATTTGTTACCAGGGTTTATATGACGGTATTTGTTACCATGGTTTATATGACGGTACTTGATATCATGGTTTATATAACGGCATTTGTTACCAGGGTTTATATGACGGTACTTGATAACATGGTTTATATAACGGCATTTGTTACCAGGGTTTATATGACGGTACTTGATAACATGGTTTATATGACAGTATTTGTTACCATAGTTTATATGACAGTATTTGTTACCATGGTTTATATAACGGCATTTGTTACCAGGGTTTATATGACGGTATATGTCACCATGGTATATATGACGGTACTTGATAACATGGATTATATAACGGCATTTGTTACCAGGGTTTATATGACGGTACTTGATGACATGATTTATATGACGGTATTTGCTGTCATGGTTTATATGACGGTATTTGTAACCATGGTTTATATGACGTACTTGATAACATGGTTTATACAACGGTATTTGTTACCAGGGTTTATATGACAGTACTTGATGACATGATTTATATGACGGTATTTGTTACCATTGTTTAATGACGGTATTTGTTACCATGTTTTATATGACAGTACTTGACAACATAGTTTATATGACGGTATTTTCTACCATGGTTTATATGATGGTATATGTTACCATGGTTTATATGACGGCATTTGTTACCATGGTTTATATGACGATACTTGATAACTTGGTTTATATAACGGTATTTGTTACCATGGTTTATATGACGGTACTTGATAACATGGTTTATATGACGGTATTTGTTACCAGGGTTTATATGACGGTATTTGTTACCATGGTTTATATGACGGTATTTGTTACCATGGTTTATATGACGGTATTTGTTACCATGGTTTATATGACGGTATTTGTTACCATGGTTTATATGACGGTACTTGATAACATGGTTTATATGACGGTATTTGATATTATGGTTTACATGGCGGTATTTGTTACCAGGGTTTATATGACGATACTTGCTACCATGGTTTATATGACGTCATTATATGTAATATAATGGTTTATTTTAGGGTATCTGATATCATGTTTTATATGACGTACTTGATAACATAGTTATGCTAAAGATAATTTAAGAAAAAAAGTATTATAACAGAATTATATCGTAACTATGATGAAGTTATAGTATACATGATATTATACTTCGATGCCTGTGATACCGTGATGACGTAATAAAATTATGAATATTCCAATCAAATAATTCAAACATTGTTTAACGAAAACGAGGTCTTAAAATTGTTCGTTATAAACCTGTCATAGTCGGCAATGCTTAACGTGTGCTTATATATATTTATCTATCTAAATATACAAACAAAGATTCTTATCTTCTCTCTTGACGTACATGTATTTAAATGTTGTACCACAACAATGTACATACAGAGATTATTTTTACAAATGAATTTATCATGCATATGTGTTTGAGGGTTACATTTTTTATTCTGTTTTGTTTCGGTGTTGAAGGACTTCTCCTAGATGATGGCAAGCTAGGTATGTGGACAAGGTGCTTTTATTATATATGTTAAACAAAACGTTCAAAAAGAGTTGTAAACTGAATTATCTCATCGTTATAAACCGCAGAAAAATTATTTCGACGACAGAAAGCCACTTTTAAAGACGTGTAACTACTCTGTCTCATCACACCTTGCTCAACAAGTGTAGTATACAGCCTTGTTTTCCACCTTTCAGTATTTACGTTTCTAAGATTGAACACACGTATAAGACCACCTCATACGGCATATCTTATTTTCAGACGACTAAAAACTGTTTTCAAAAATGATATTTAACAGTCTTTAACAGTGTGTCTTCACGTTGGTTCCAAAACACTCTTAGGAATATTAAAAAATAAGAGGTTAATTTAATGCACACATAACATACAATCTTTGAACTCTATAGAAAATCTTGTCTTAGATTCGTAAATTATGTCTATCTAAAATGTTATTTTATTTTTTCTCTCCTTTCAGAACCTATGAAGTTTAGCTCGTCTGCTCACGGTCCTAAAATAGAACTATCAGATAACGACACCGTTGCTACGCGATACGAGGGCTATTGTTGGTCGGTGTGCCTATCAGACCAACCACTCAAGGTCGGACAAACGCTTCATTTCAATATTTCAGAAATAGAAATGGGATGGATGTCCAATCTGAATGTAGGGATAATATATACGTCACCTGATAGTTTACCTTTAGGTAGCCTGGTCACGTGCGATGCCAACCTTAGTGTCTCCATACCCAACACGGAAGTATTTATCTTCCAGAGATTCTACTCCGCCGATAACATTTACAGCTTCACAGTTGATGACGAAGGAATAGCCTACTTGTCTCCTAACGTAACAAGTGATGACATAGTTTTCACCGGTGTTGACGTCACAAAGACATTCTGGGCCATATTCAATATATTTGGTGACAGTAAAGCAGTGAAGCTTCTTGGATTGACCTAAAAACTTGTAATGCATATTGGTAATGCATATTGATATGCATTTGTTTAAAATGTTTTGACAAATTATTACACGTGTATCAACTTAAATGGTGATTAGATCTATATCCGGTTTTACAGTTGTGAATAAACACTAGAGGTCTAATGCCCCTTTTTTCTTGAATTGACATTATTATTATTATCTTGTTTCATCAGTACTGTATAGTTTAGTGTTTTTAGTAAGCATTTACAAAATTAAATTGGTCAAGAACGACTGCAACTCGTTTTAATGCAGTAAATGCTAAAGGCTAGTAAAATCAATTGCCAATTTAGTGTTCTTTATGAAATTTCTATTTACTTAAAATGCGGATTAATACCAAAGTAAATGTGCTATAATTTATTTGAAATGCTGCAATTCTATTGAAAAAAAGTAATTTAAAACACTAAATGTTATATGTAGAGGAATTACTATGCAGAAGAGTCTGTGTAACTGTTCCATAGTCATATTAATTCCCTCTACTGTATATAGACGCTTTCAACAATTTGATAGAATGTCAGTTTCACTGAAATATAAAAAGGAGCATCAGTAGCCTTTGTCGATAGGAATATGCTAATATTTGCTTGTTTTAATATTTGCTTGTTTTAATATTTGCTTTTGAAAAAAACATCAAACTAGATAAAAATTATTGACGATTACTGGCGCCCTTTATCTAAGACTTCAAATTGAGATTTTGTACATCAACTGGGTCATCAAACTTTTTGTCAACTCGTTTATACATAACCAAACAAAGCCGCGTGAATAACCGGAAACTGAATTGTTATAAGTTCAATTTAATAATTTACTGACTACTTAGCAATCAATTCGGTCAAAAGATCATGGTAAAAGTCAATGTAAATTACTAAAAATTTGAGTCAATATTAGGCAAATATTGACAGCAATATCAAAAACGGGTTCCTTTTGTCTTAATTTCATATTATTGTGTCCTACAATTTCATTCATGATGGCCCTGATTTAATACACATATTTTTCATATTTTAGAAAATCAAGACCAACTATGTTCAATTTTTTTTTGTATCTCTCAAATATTACAAAACCTTTTATTCTACTCATAGCATTAACGAAAAGTTATGTTTCTTGTTTATTGACACCTTCTGCAAAATAACTAATTTTGTCATACGTACAAATGTCGACATTTCAAGGGCAACGGGTATTTTCGGAAATTCTGAAAGCTTTTTAAATAAATTTTCTGTATATAATCTTACTATTTCTACAATGTACTAGAATTTTAGATTTATTGGACTGGTAATAATATATTATCAAGGTATTTTTGACGAATATCTGATTATATTGTACAGTGTGAAAGGAAATGGTACCGGGTTTCTTTACACATTTACATTATCCCGACCGTAACTGGAAATGCAAGGTCTAAATTGAAAAGATGCTGGCAATGTGAAATACTAGTAGCCCTCACAAGTTAGATGGAGTCAACAATGCCATCTAATAAATTAAAGCGAAGAATTATGGCGATTAATATGTATAGATAGTTTTATGCACTAAATTTTAGTCCTAGTGTAGGTGGATTGAATTTCAACACAATGTTCCGTTTTATCATTTAATGTCTCTTTCTCAGAGGAATACCACAAACATTTATAATATATCAAATACACACCGGTTATCCTGATGTTAACAAATTAATATTAAAAACAGTAACAATTATTTCTAGTAGAAAGCCACAACGTTATCACTTGGAAATCCAAAATCTAACTGTTCAATTTTTCTATCTTTACAATATTTCTAAAAATGGTTTCGTTTTAAACTGACCAATAAAATTTTAACATCTTTGTTTCTTAAATTACAAAATAACCAATCAGGTTACAATACAAAATAATGTGCATAGCAACATATAATTTATAACAACAATCATCACCTGGACATTTTATATTTGTTTTATTTTAGAAATAAAGTTGGTAAAAACTCGTATACATTGGAATGCAACGGGCACCCGCAAAATTTCTATCCAGTCCGTGCGACAAACTTGTCGAAATAGGTCAACACAAAACTTGCAGAAATTTCAAGAAAATCGGATTGACCTCCCTATTTTGAAAGAAGAAATTTTAGACCAATGAGGACAATCTAAACCAATCAAAATTAACTTTATTTATAATTTGTTCGGTAGAACTTACAAAATCTACAAAATTTAAAACAAACTCTGCTAATTACAAACATGTAATTAATCATATGCATCCCAATGTATACGGTTTATAAAACCCCAGTCACACTAGAGCTTACGATTACTTGCGACCACCGGCGACTTGTAAAACTGACGATCATCAGCGATTGTCTGCGACCAAAACCATTTTTGCACAGATAAATTTACTTTTGCTAGTATCGTAAGACAAGTCATCATTGACAATCGCACGACAGGTCATAGGTAAACGTACAATGGTCTCAAGATTGCCTGGGATTACTTACGACTACCCGTGACATAACATGCGATCACCTACAACTTGTCGTACGACCATCACACGATATCTAAAGACTACTTAAGATTATCAGTGACTAGTGGCAATTTGTAAAGACTGTCCGAACGACCATCGTGCGACAGCCTTAAGACCTTATAAGATCACAAGCGACCTGTTTGATCGCAAGGAGGTTTTTGTGCAAGCTCAAAAACCTCTCTACGACTGAAATTGGTCGTGGGACCTAAATAAGATAACCTGCGACTGTCAAAGATTACCGATGACCGTCGTAAGACGTTTTAAAGATTGTCCGCGACCAGAGGTCACTGGTGATCGTGAACTAGTCTTTACTGGTCGTAAGCTCTAATGTGACTGGGGCTTAACATTTAAATAGAAACCAACATAAATAACAGTCAGCCCACATTGAATTGGTCAGAAAACGTTCCTGACATGCCTTCTTCGCATGTGTATACGAACACTATAATTATATGTAATATATTAAAAAATTTTAGTTATATTAAATAGACCTGCTATAAAAGTAACTTCTATAAACGTCTTGGCCAATTTTGAAATAAGTTTATTTTAATTATTAAATTTTAGAATTCTTAAACTTAATGTGGGATTGTCCCATCTTCCTCCCATGGCAGAGGTTGTACGTAGAGACTACCCTGTCATGGGGGATATGGTATGCACATAACACATGTACGGATATAACAATAAGTAAATAAACATCAGCTCCCCCTTTTTAAAAGGTTATAAATGAAGTATATGCTCGCCGATATGGTCTCTTTCCGGTGGCGAGGGTAAACAAACCCAAACACACACACAGGACATTTTATCAGTAATAATGTATAACAACTTATTAAGTACAGACGGCTAAATTGACATTATCACCTAAATATAATAAAACTTTTAGCACCATTGATTGGACAAGGAGGAAAAGCCACATTCAATCTTACGGTTACATAATTATTAATTTGACATCTATTGTTAAAACATATAATACCTGTAACTAAACATATTTGAAATGTCACACATTGTTTTGAAAATATGACCTTTTTGAAAATGATTATATTTATAAATATTTGTGTTTAAAAGAAAATCCTCATGCATATTTATTCATTTTTTTGTAAAAGAATTTTATCATTTTTCGGCCGCACAACACTAGACTAAATGAGAATCTCCAAATTGATTGAGATAGAGACGACGTAATTCAACATTATTTGCACTTATCGAATGGTCGTTTTTACTCCATTACATATGCGAGGGCTCTTTCACAATGCCGATGGCCAGCACCTTGTCGATGGCTCAATCACATTGAGATAAATGTTAGTATTTTATTTTTAACAAAGCTCTTTGAACTATATTTTTGTGTTATGCCAAAGGAGAGGTTGTAACAATGGTCCATGCACGATTAAGTAAATAAGCAATTAACATCATGGTAGAAAAATCTCTCAAGATACGTCTTCTTACGAATGAAAACATGCAAGTTGATGTTTGGTAAAAACTGTGGTAACCTTTTTCAGCTTTTTTTCCGTCGAGGGCTCTGCAGCGAAAGTGTCGAGGGCTCTCATTTAAACAGATCAGCAAAATGTGAAAGAGCCACTATTTAGCAAGGATGTGTTTTTCTTCCGATTTTCTCTCCATAATACTGCTGAAGTTAACAACACAATTACAATAAAAAATTTATGACACATTTTGTTGTAAAAATCAGTGAAACAAAACGCACTGTTATAAAAATTACAGTATTGATTTCTAGCTGCAAATCGAAAGGATCGGCAAAAAGCATAAAACAAGTATTGCCACATTTACGACCCATATCAATATGCCGGACTCTTAAGGAAGTGCAATAACTGGAGAAAATATCATGTCAGTACAGCTAAAGTTTGATATTTAAGTCGAGTACAAGCAACGTTACAATCAGTGTAAAGCCGCACTTGAGACTAAGACGAGCAATGTAACCAAGTTGCTTACTATTACATGTAGCCAACGTTATCTTAAAATATTGATAAATTATCACAGGAAGTATAAATCCAAATAATTTTGACAACAAATCGTTATTTTTTGAACTCGTAATACTAGCAATAATAAATGGCTCTATTCATTTAGATGGACAGTAATGGTGAAAATGCTGAACATAAACTTCTTACTGCTTACTACATGCTCATTTTTAAACAAATAAAATAATTCTTTATATTTTTTTAACTTAAGAGTTTGAAATTGAACGGCTTAACACTCCAATTACACAGAGCCATCGGTGATTGGTCGGCAGATATTTTATCCAAATTATGGAGTGAACCGATGACAACGTATTTAACACCGATATCATCTGTTTTCCACCTATCAACTGCTATTGGGGAAAGATAAGTTTTATCGGTGAAAAATAACCGATTGGGATTTTTAAACATGTTTAAAATTCTCGATCGGTGAAAATATTTTACAAATAACCGACAGCAACCTATATCACGAGATATGCAAGCTCTTAATCACCGATATCGCCGATCGGACAAAGATGACCAAATATGAATCACCGGCCATATCTGACGGAAAGTGTTTAACCACTGATGACTAGCTATCAAACACCGATTAATCTGCGTTACGCCCGATTTAGCTCCGATTTAAAAACGATAAAAACCGATAGTATTTCAGCATTTTTATCACCGATCCAACCCCGTTTGAGTTTGTTTTCTGTCACCGGTGGCCGTTTACACAAAAAAACAGAAATAAAATCACGCATGACAACCGATCATAACAGCGAGTAAATTTAAAATTAAATGACCAATCGGGGACCGACCGTCTGTGTAACTGGGATTGTACGATTGAATTAAAGAGAGCAGTTTGAAAAGCGTATTTTCAAGACCACTTTTGATAACATAATAGCATTAAGAGCGTTCTTAAAATAGATACCCATTTGTAAACAAAAATAGGCCATTCTGTAGCATAACAATTTAATGTCAATGAAATATTATTTCAGGAAATGTGAGGTGACGGCAATGTTGACTTGGTAAATAAGAACCAATGTACGCAACAATTGCGAATCCGATGGTAAACGATTGGTGTTGATCGGTGATTGACGCATTCTACGAAAAGTAAACAATATTGAAACACAAAAAATGTCAATTCTTAATCAGAGCATTCATTCAGTTGGATAAATTGTTGCACAATGTTTTGCCGATTTATTATTTTACTCAATGTTCTAAGTAAGTTTCCTTTTTTCAATTTTCTTAAGAACTATTTATTGGAGAAAGGCAGAGATATACTAAAATACTTTGTTGTAGCATAACAATCATTTTCAATAGTTTTCATTTTACAATTATGAAACCTGACTAAGCGAATTTCTTCAGAATGTTTCGTACATCGTTATTTTTCTTTAATTTGAAGACACACAAGGTATGTCAAAATATATTTCACGGAGTGAACAGCAGATGTAATATTTTCACGATTGACTTATCAACGAGTGAAAATATAAGAGCCGGTGTTCACGAGTGAAATATATTTCATATTATATACAAAACCACTGTTTTTTCTCTTTCATGCTTTTTAGGGATTTTAAGTCATTTTACTGTTTCTTTTTTTTTTGTTGTATTTTTTTTGACGCGTAGCGAAATGCACTGTCACTCATTACGTCATCAAACCCGAACGTCACATTATTCTTCTTGAAAAATAATTATGTAAAAGTTAACGGATTTTATTACATTTTAATATATGATGTGCGCATATAGTTTATGTATATGCTCCTCGTAGTACAGCATATTTTACTCATGACGTAGTGTTTTTCTCGCGATACATGCACTTATTTATTTAATATATTTCTGTCCATCCGCAATCAGACATAGTCCGGCTACTGTGAAATCTATATGAGAATTATTTTGTTTTGTATGGTTACCTTTTTTACGTGTTATAGATGCCTTTTGAATCTGCACAATGTGTTAATAGTTAGATGTTAAATATACATGCATATTAATTCAGATATTTAGTAATTTTATACAGAATACATAGTGAGCTGTGTCCGAAAATGACATTGAGCGAAAACAAAATGAGAAAAGGGAATTCCCAAAGAAACTCCAAAACGGCAAAACATTTTCATATTGCAGTTGAACATGTTTATGTTAATTGACTTGATCTTATATCAGTACTGGACATTAACTTTGAGTAAATTGGCATTGCCGTCTACATGAAAATATATATCAGAGAAAATATATTCATTAACATTTTTTTTTTCAAACACAAAATTTGGTAAATATTGGAATCACGTGTGAATGTTTTATTTCGTGCATTTTTTTTTCACTAGATAGATTCACCTCTAAATGGCAACAAGCTTATAATTAATACCATTTCTTGGTAACAAATCATCATCATCATCATCATCATCATCAACAACAACAACAACAACAACAAAAAAAAAAAACAACAACAATCAACAACCATTCATATAGCAGAACGACATATATATTTTTTCTAATTATGTATCAATTTTTTTTTTAACACAGTTGTAATTTATGGGTATCTTATTGAAAGTCCTGACTTTGAAAGCGATTGGTTGCGGATCACTGCACAGAGTAGCGGGTCAGAGATCAAGGTCAGTCATGGTCTCGGAACAGCGCCGGTTTTGGTAGATGTTCTGGTGAAGGCCATAGACGGACCAAACGAGGGATTCATATTCAAAGCTATAGGTAATAATATATACAATTTCATAAAGATTTTAGAATTTGAGTTTCTTGTTACTAATGTTTTAAAATCGGTTCATGAGAGATGAAATAAAGCGCAACTATTCATGTTTATCTTTTTGTAAATGAAACATGTGTTAACTTTCTGGTTCTGATTGAATCATTCTTTGGCATGATAATTGATTTTTTTAATATAAATACATTTTGATTTTATTAGTTTTTAGATTTTCACGGCATTCTCATGACATGTAGATTACATAAACATGATCTGTCAAGTATACATGTATATAATAAGCAATGGAGGTCGATGCAATGTATATGCATTTGAGATAGTCAATCTTTTTACTCTGCCCCACCCACACTTTCATCTTCGGTTGACGTAAGAAATAATAATTATGATATATTTATCTATTGGTTAGAACTCGATTAGAAATTGTCTACGTCGGTAAAGAAAAATGTGTGTTAATTCTTACCAACTAAGATGCCGCATTTAATTCAAATATTGTTGCTTGCGAAGCGGTTGCTCAGTTCTTTTAAAGCGGCGTCTTTAAAAATATTTCGGTCAAATATAAAAACAAAAGTTGGTACCGTCTTTTCTGGATTAAAAGACGACAAGAGACAGCTATTCATTTTAAACATTTAAAAAACAAAATGCGTAAATCTATTTTTTTGATCAAACAGAGACAAATATTAAAGGTGTACGCGGTACGTATTTCCTGACGACATATTGCCATTTCATTGCAGTTTTAGAACTTTTCTTCTTACTTAAAATATTTCTATTAAACGAGTTTAACCGAATATATAGCATTAAATCTGTTGCCCAGGTCATGGTGAACGGGATGATGACAACACACTTGACAAGTATGGTGGCGTCATATACATATATAATGACGTCAGTGTTTTTGTCATGACGCCAGCTGGAAATAACGGTAACAGAGGTGGTGCAGCAATCTATACAGGTATACTTTGGACTTATGTTACATGTATATACTTCTATATCGCTTATCTTTTTTTTAAAAAAAGACTAACATTCTGTACAAACTAGAATATAATACCAGATAATGCTATTTTACCTTGAGTTTAAATGATGGTGAGTACTTAGCAAAGATTCTTACCACCACCACACAGAAGATGAAATGGAGTGTTGTGCATGAACGAAACAGACGCACCTTATTGCTATAAATGATTAAATTGTGATAAGCGGTATTCTGAAATAAATTGTGATAAATGATTATAGATAATATATTCTGAAATAAATTATGATGAATAATTATAAATAATATATTCTGAAATAAATTTTGATAAGTATTTATAAATAACATATTTTGAAATAAATTCTGGTAGCATATTCTGAAATAAGCTGTTTAATAAAATTCAAGTTTCATCTAGTTACCATTCTGACATAAACAATAAATTTCTTAATAGCTACACACATGTTTATGCAAGATGTATTGAGAGATTCATAAATGTAAAAATAGGTAGATTTGTTCCCCATGTTTAACAGTCGTATTTCAGTGTACCCCTACCATACTGCCGGGCTTGCAATAGAAACTGATGAATAAATAATATTATTCACAGGTGGTGACTTGAATGATGTAACAATCAATTCAATTTGTACATCGAGTTCTGAAAAAATAACATGAGCAGGTTTTTCTCTCGCAGTTCATTCTTTGGCAAATAAATCATCTTTAATTCGTTTATTTTGTCGCAATGAATTGATAAATTGACCCACCATCAACCATCTTTACGTCAAACTTCGTTAAATTGTCTGTCAGCTTTGTATATTAGATATAAACATATCTCATTTAACATGTTGATATAGGAGTGTTAAATCAATTCAATAATGGGTACAGAATGCCATTGTATAAAAGTATTGATATAAATAATTGAAATTCGAATGTGTGGAACAATATGAAAAGCAATTCAAAACTTTGATTCTACTTAAATTAAATTCCTGATTAAAACTTTTTGACTATTAAATTTCTGAGAGAAATCAATGTATTTACACGTGTTGACATTTTCATGTAGTATTGAAAATTAAAATGCATAGATTTTTTTCTCCTTTCGTTTTCATTTATTGCTTGTAATGCAATTTGTACGCTTATACTGTCTTTCTGTCGACGTTATTGAAAGTATGACTTTGTTGACAACAGGATCTTCTCCTTATTGGCATGGACCAAACACTCAAATGAGTTTCAGTGCCGATATAAAAGTGAAGTGTTGGACGGCAGCCTCCCTCCCACCGCCATGTGTTCAAATAACAGATATCTATATGTCTGCTGGATCGCCGAATGGTATGCTTTAAAATTAAACCCTAAATAATAACAGTTCTAGAAAATAGTCACTTGAAAAAGTAAAAAGATGAAACTGATGAAATCTTTTTGCATCAAAATTTAATGGTATGCTCATGCAAAAAAAAGCAAAATATTATACATACAGTACGTAATGACAATGGTTTCTTCAATATATTAGATATTTTCAAGCCTGTTATATGTATTATAAATGTTTACAATTTATTACTCATTCTCCTTAACTTTTCTGTTTAAAAACAATAAAAATCGAACAATAAAAAGTACAATATGTAATAATAATGTCTTTCAAATGTGTGCTATGTTACAATCGAAAGATCTTGTTTAGTTGATGACACGTATAAGGAAATACAGCATAATCAGACAGAGTACCCGTCTATTGTAAAGGTCAGAGTTCAAATTACAAATGGAAAAGAATCAGGCTGGTATTCAGATGCACAAGGTATGTTCTAGATGTATAAACATCATTCATATAAAATAATTCGATGATTTTCATATATAAATGGAAATTATGATAGGAAACAATACATTATCGTATAACACAATTATAATCATTTCCAAAGTATATTGACATAATCACTGTGCCTGGTCAGGCTATTCAATTCAATGTGTACCGTGCCTTGTGAGTACAAGCACATGTTACTTCCTATCACTGTGCCTTACATTGGAGCCAATATATTTCAACTTGGATCTTTCTTGCAATAACGGTAAGTAGATTTGTTAGACGCCGCGTGCAGTAGATATGCGTTTGTCCATACAGCGATGGGGAAAATTTTAGACTTGATTTTGTGTATTTTTTGTTTTGCTTTAACAAAATCACACTGTTTTCAAATTTTCTAATAAAAATAGCTTTTCTGATGTACAACATGTAACAGAGCTTTAAGGGATTAGAATAAACGTTTAACTGAAGTGATAGTGCAATTTTTGAATATCATATTCTTTTATTATTATCTAATTTTATCTACATAATAAATAACGTGCCAATGAGCCAGTCTATAGTCGATTGTACTCAAACTTAACCGTTGAGAGAGGTAATGACTAAGGCAGTGTCACTCACTTCATTTGCTCCTCCTCTGTTGAAGTTCGACTCCGCCTTAAATTGTTGCCAAATTTAATATGATGCTCCGTATGCTAGCATTAAAGTCTTCGTTTGCGGGGCGGAAGGGAACCAGGACAACTTTGATCAATATCACTTGTCGAATCATTAAATTACAAGTTACAAAGCCTAAACCACGCCCACTATCAGAGAGGCGGTTCTCTCTCAACCGTTAAGAAAGAACGCCAAACTCTGCGCACCGGTTACGCTACGGCCAGTAAAGGGAGATCACTGCAGAAGAGTTCGTCCTCAAAATCATTCGAACATTATGCAATTCGTACCAATATTTAAATGAACATAATCTCGGCACATATTGTCTTGTATTTATTTTAAGTATACTAATCATTTCAATTTTACTTGTTATCCAATTTATTTTGCTTTCACTCTTTGTCGCAACAGACAAACATTTCAGACATGACATTACTTTGTGAATTTATGCATTAGGTTCTATGCTTTTTCACAAAAATATGCAACTTAATTATTAAAAAACGGGCACATACCAAAAACGGATATTCACTGTTCAATGCTGATTCATCATTCATCATCGTTCACATCATCTGGTGGCGTCTTTGATGTGCAGCATCAACATTTAACTGTATACTGTGATTTACATTCAAAAATATCACAGTACGATACCGGTAAACTACGAGTAGCTATACATCCGTTGATGAAATAAAGTACTGACAAGCAAGGAATCAGATGGCATTCATTAAGAAAAAATGACTCTGTCGACACAATGTAGTCAATGTATATATTTTCTTACGTTATGACAAGATTGTATATTTGTTTAAAGGGTCATCAGCATATAACTACATTACAATGGGAGCTTGGTATGTAACAGGAGGACTAAAGTTCGCCTACAACAACGAAACAATCCGAATATGGACTTCGTCATATCCGGCTCCAAGTAAGACTTGTGATTATTTTTAGTACAAATGATAATGGTAGGTAATAGTTTATATAAAACAACAACAATTAATATATACGTGCGCTCATATAAAACAAGAGTTAAAAATTTGACCGGATATATAACATATGTGATTAACTTGTATATGTATGTACTCATGTTTGAACGAAAATAGCAGACGAAACGTATGTGGTATAAAAAATTAATGAAATTAAGATTCCGATAATGTATGGTTCCCGACCCAGGTGAGGTGGATTTGACCCCTAGAGTTGCTTAAAGTTTGTAACGCCCAGGGTTAGCAGAAATCATCTTTCCTGTTTCGGCGCCATTAAACCTAAATTGTGTTGGTGCACGTTATATCCAAATTAAACAAAACAAACAAAACATAAAAGGGTCAACAACTCTCACTAATTTTTATGTTGTTTAGTTATAATGTGATATTTTCTAAGTAAAATCCTTAAGGTAATGAACCTGATTAGACATAAAATTCTGCTGCTGAGAAATTGCTTTATTTTTTAATAATGATGTAATATTTTTTATTTCCTTGCCCCACAGTGGTTTAATATTTCGTTATCATGTGTTACTTTTATAACAGTTCCGAAATGTGTATGCACAGTTTCAGTAGTTAAAAAGTCTTTATTTTCATTTAATTCCAGTCAATAAAACATTGAAGTTTTATTTTAAGATAGTTGTTGTTATTGACCTGATATTAGCAAAGGAATTGATCAGAAAATACACTTTCTTTCTTGTTTTTGTGTCGGAAGCTTTTTTTTATTTAAAATATAAAAAAATGATTTTGAACCGCTCGAAACATTAAGTTTGTCTGTAAAATTGCTGAAGTATTACTGCATTGAAATGTTTTTAAAACTGCTTTCTACTATACATTAAAAATATGTGCTGGTCCTTTTACAGATGGCATAATTTTTGCCAGAAACGATGGTTGGGGAAATATCAAATCTGTGTACGGTGTTTCTACGGCCGGCTATGTCGAAGTGAACGCTTGGTGTAATCTAAAAACTTCACATGAAGAAGTTCTCCAATTTGGACCGGGTATAATTAATGAATCCATGCAGTTCAACTTCCCAAATATATATTCAGCTTTTGAGGCATTCCATATCACGATGATGGTATTTATATTAACACATTCCTTCATTTGGTAAAACTTTTATTGCGTTTGCACCTTTATTCAGAAACACTGAAAATAAAGTAAATCCGCTAAATTCACGTAAATATTTAACATTTGAGCCGCGCCATGACAAAACCAACGTTATGCGTTTGCGACCAGCATGGATCCAGACCAGCCTGCGCATCCGCGCAGTCTGATCAGGATCCATGCTGTTAGCTATCAGTTTTTATACTTGTAATAGGGTTTGTAAGCGAACAGTATGGATCCTGATCTTCCTCTTTGCGCGGATGCGCAGGCTGGTCTGGATCCATGCAGGTCGCAAACCCATTATGTTGGTTTTGTCATGACACGGCTCATTTATAGACAAGCAGTGAAAAGATCCAGCGATAAATGTTATGTACTGCCACCAGTAAAAATGTTATTTTAATACTTTTTTACAATTATTCTGTATAAAAAAGTATTTTTTAGCTAAATTGAAGCAAATTATTCTTATATATTTCGTTTACAATCAATAATCAAAGATTAGGAACAACACAGCAAGGAAGGACTAAGATTTTTAGCTGCTTGGTAACAGTATATTTCATCTTAATGTGAAACGATAATAAAATCGCTTTTTAACTAATAATTTTGATGATTTTACACATGTTTAACACATACTTTATTTCGTTTCTGCGTATCATCCATAAAAGAAATGTGTCAATTTGTCTAGACCTTTATATTTTACAAATATTCATGTGTAATTATTAACTAAGTCAGCGATGTTAACAAATATTGGCAAGCAGCTTTGAAAGGGACAAAATTGTTTAGATTTACTTTTCATATTTCCAGGTTCGAGCCGTTGATGGACCAAACAAAGGCTATCTTTTTGATGGTATAGGAGGAGCGATGCCTAACAGATACAACATTGGTCAACCATGTTCTTATGGTGGTCTTGTATATGCCCGCAATAAAACTTGTGTACGGATCTGGCGCCCTGATTATGCTACAGGCGGTGCTATCTGTATATCAGAGAATATGGGTCATGGTACAAACTCGCAAGCTTCTCAAAGCGGAGAATTGCTATTCAAAGTGTATACGCCTCCAACCTTTAGTATGTATTTTCATTTTACTTTAAAGGGATATATATTCTTTCATAAATTATTGTATCACAAATCTACTAACATAGATAATTAAAAGAAAGTATAAGAAAGTAAAGCCAATGAATTGTAAGTTTGCAAAAGCTTTAACTTTTAAAATGTTTTTTTTTATATTTTCTACAGAGAAAGCTCCAGAGTATGAACCGGCACCGTTAGTTTGCAGTCATTTCACAATCCACGGAAATGATGTAGGTTACAACGAAAAGCCGATCGCCGCCTTGTACAATATAAGCACGTTACTCTCGTGCGATTACTCATGTCGACAATATAATGCATGTGTGCTCTACTCGTACAAAAACGACACATGTTACATATACAACACCACCGACAACGCTCTTTTGTATTCATATGAAAACTCTCAAGTATGGGGATTAAAGACCAGAATTTATAACGGAATGCTGGACGAGCTGTGATTTAAACTTGTTACATTGTTCTTATCAAGAAGTAATAACAATAAATACTATGTATACAATTACATATTCATAATGCTATGATTCACATATTATCTTTAGTGATTTCCACAGCAAACCTAATATACACATATTTCAAATATCTTACGGTCTTTTTATGCATTTGAGACACATCGTTGTTATTGTGTGATATCCAACAAATTTTAAGTATATTTTAAAAGAAAAGAAAAGAAACTTTAAATGGACATTAATTTCCGTGACAAAAATATTCAAAAGGAAACTTTAAAGTGATTTGGTCTACAATGAACCCATTTTCCATAAATATTTCAAATAGTGTACAGTAGAAATTTATCATTTGGATTTTCTTTTAAAATGCTGCTTGAAAAAACATGTTGAACAAGTTATTAAGAATGACAATTAATCTGATGAATAATAACATTTGAGCTGCGCCATGACAAAACCAACATAATGGGTTTGCGACCAGCATGGATCCAAACCAGCCTGCGCATCCGCGCAGTCTGATCAGGATCTGTGCTGCTGTCCACTATCAGTTTCACTACGTGTTATAGGGCTTGTAAGCGAACAGCATGGATCCTGATCAGACTGCGCGGATGCGCAGACTGGTCTGGATCCATGCTGGTCGCAAATTCTTATGTTGGTTTTGTGGTGACGCGGCTCATTTTGTTTAGAACAATTTATTATATATATCCGCACTTCACAGGTCAAACTACTGGCGGGTATTCAACCAAACTTTACAGGAGTGATCAATACCATCCATAGCTGTGCACACTTCGCTGCACAGAATGGCAACTAGAGCTAAAAATAGAAAAATCTTGCCCGCCTTCACATTTCAAACTACTGGTGGGATTTCAACCAAACTTTACAAGAGTGATCAGGACCATCCCTAGTTGTTCACATTACCGGCACGTTTCACTTCGTTGCACAAAATGGCCGCCAGAGCTAAAAATAGAAAAATCGTGTTCGGCCGTCACAGGCCAAATTACTGGTGGGCTTTCAACAAAACTTAAGAGGAGTGATCAGTACCATTCCTAGTTGTGCACAATACCGGAATATTCCGCTTCGCTGCACAAAATGGTCGCCAGAGCTAAAATAGAAAAATCTTGTCCGGCCTTCACAGGTCAAACTTCTGGTGGGATTTCAATCAAACTTTACAGGAGTGATCAGCACCATCCCTAGCTGTGCACATCACGGGTATGTTCTGCTTCGCTGCACAAAGCGCTGCACAAAATGACCGCTAGAGCTTAAGATAGAAAATTTGGTCCGGTCTTCACAGGTCAAACTACTGGCGGGATTTCAACCAACTTAAGGTGATTCTGCTTTGTCAGCCATGTTTGTTTTCACAAAGTCTGTCCAAAGTGAAAGTAGGCCAAATTCATGTAGCAACAAAGCTCACATAGTTATATGATGAGCCATTTGCAAGTACATTTCCAGTTCTATGTTTTAAAGACTATTTTAAACAAAAATAAAAATGATAACAATAAGAAAATTTACCTTGAATGGGCTAAATTTCCGAAGACCAAAAACATTCTGTTGCAAAGTTTTATGCACATTTCATGAATGGCAAAATCCTTTTTAAAGTCTGTTTTAGTGCCCACAAAAGCTTTTTTTTTGCAGAAAATACAAAAAAACTTAAAAAAAAACCATAAATCTTAGGAAAGTCGTTTATCTGACCTTGAAAAAATATGGCCACCATGACATGTGTAAAAAAGTAGTACCATGAAAATAAACATCATTTACCTATTTCTTGTGTACATGACAAACAGACACACTTCAATGTTACACATAAAAAAGGTTAGATTTTAAAGTTTGATTGTGTTTTCATTTTAATTGTAGTTCATAAGGCTATAAATGATGATTGTTTTCCTGCACTACTTTTTTACAAAAAATAATGGAGGCCATGTGCTTAGAAGGACATGAGATACAGATTCATTTGGAGTTAAGTTTTGAAAGAATTTTGTATTTGCTGCAAAAAATAGCTTTTGTAGGCACTAAAACAGACTTTAAAAAGGATTTTGCCATTCATGAAATGTGCATAAAACTTTGCAACAGAATGTTTTTGGTCTTCAGAAATGTAGCACATTCAAGGTAAATATTCTTATTGTTATCATTTTTATTTTTGTTTATAATTGTCCTTGAAATATAAACCTGGATGTGTACTTTCAAATGGTTCATCATTTTACAATAAGAGCTTTGTTGTTATATGAATTTTTGCCTACTTTCACTTTGGACAGACTTTGTGAAAACAAACATGGCTAACAAAGCGGAATCACCTTAACAGGAGTGATCAGTACCATTCCTAGTTGTGCACAATAACGGCATATTCCGCTTCGCTGCACAAAATGGCCGTCAGAGTTATAAATAGAAATTTTTTGTCCGGCTTTCATAGGTCAAGCTACTGGTGGGATTTCAATGAAACTTCACATGAGTCACCATTCATACTTTTTGGGAGACATATGTTTTTGTGACAAAAACCCTTCTAGTTATTTATTGTATTCTATTATAGACCAATTCACTTTTATAGAAGTAAAAATATCGCAATTCTTTTAATGTAAAAGGAAATAGAACAGGGAAATATTTTTGTATGCGTGCAATAGCTCACTAGATATTGGCTAGCCTGTGGTTGTCATATCTCTGCTAGATGTCCACCTAACCGGCCTTCCTGAATAACTTACAATTTACACATTCCGCCGCAAGTAACCGACTCCTAATCATTCCAAGTGTTTCAAAATGAGCGACGAGAAACTGTCTGAAACCATGCTTTTGAAGTTAATGCGTAAGGTCTGCAATAGACAATGATGTGCAACTCATGACGCAGCCCCTACCAAAAGAAAAAAATGACTTATTAGGCTACCAAAATATTTTTATATATTTGAACTTTATAATAGTATGTTTTGCTATGACTCACAAGTTTTTTCTCATATTTTGAAGTGTTGATGGTTTCACAACAAACGCGAATTCCGATTAATATTTTACAATGACTTTATGTGTATATTCTTTCCTCGCTTTTATATCATATTTATAAATAAATAAAACATTATTCCTCATCATTCCTAAATATTGTTTGTATTTCATTTTATTTCATCTCAACGAACAACGTACAATATTTAATAAAACATTCGTAAAATATTTGATGTATTAATTGAAGAGTTATCAGATAAAATGTGTATAAAAAATGATTGGAAAAACATATTGAAAACATTTTTCAACCAGGAAAACACTGTGTTTGTCAAAATCCTAATTTTGTAAATGCATCAAGGTATTGAAGCTTAAGTCTTTTTACATTCGGGACAGGGATGGGAAAATGTGACTAACAATTTACGAACTGTCTGACCCCCACTGTGCCAGTGCTTCTATTTTCTATGGCGCAAGAAAAAAACAAGAAATAAAAAGAGCAGGAACTTTTTCCGACCTGCAGTGCAGAGGCTTTTAGCGGGGATTTTGCTACCTTTGGGTTACCTTATATCCGGAGGGGGGATTATTAGTAGCTTATCCAAAAGTAAAAGTTTCCCCTATTACATGGCGTGTAGGTGGTGAAAAAATCTATTTTAGAATTTTGAATAAGATCTACAGCTTAGATTTGTAAAGCTCAAATCCTTAAATAGTTTCACTATATAAACTTACCTATTGTTTACACTCTCATAAGTCATAACATTTATTGGATGGTCAAACTTTACAGGTACTGGTAAAAAAATGTGGTTGCTACAATCTCGAGTCTCTATTTGATAGTGACTGTCAAGTCTCTATTATTTTGATAGTAACTGGAAGTTGGTCAATTAAAGACGGTGTTATGTAATTATGGAATTCAAGATAGTAATATCAAATGATGCCATCGGCTCCTAACAAAAAAGGCTTGCAAAATAACTTATTGTACAACATTAGATACAGCACAATGTAAGGTTTGGAAGAATTCAAATAAATTTTAAATAAGACTGAGAAAAAAAATGTTACTCAATGCAATATTTCTCTCTTACTAAATAGGACTTTGAAATTTTAAATAAATGAAACTTAGAACGATATTTATTTAAAGTGAATTGGTCCGTAATGAAAGGTTTGTAATACCATAAATAATAATGTTGATGTTGATAATTATGTTATGTAGTATCATACAGGACAAGAAAACAATGAAAATACACATGGATGTTGTTTATAAGTGCGAGATATATGATCCGATATTAAATATATAGCAGATTATACCTTATTATATAACAAAATATAATTAAAAACCATACAAACGTTCATACTCAATTACATAAAACTTATTAAAAACATTTTCAAGAACTATTTTCATGCATTCTATTGTTTTTATTAATATTTGAAATACTTTTGGACAATTGTTCATTATAGACCAATCCACTTTCATAAAACACTTACTTTCCGGGTTTAAATAATTTTGAATATCAAACTGTGGAGCTTTGTTTTGGTACTGTGACCTGAATGACAGCTTCGATTTTCTAGCAGTTGCAATCAATCGACCACTGTAAAAGCTTACTTCCTTCTATTACAAATTGTTACGGTATATAGCTTCCGTTGAACAGCATGGCAATTATGCGAATTCTCATTCACACAAACACTATTGTTTGATTTTCACAGTCTTCTGTCTTTTTAAAAAAAATGGGAGCGCGGTTGAATTACATACATATACATTAAACTGATCTAAAAATCTATTATTTCAATACATATTTGTTTCTAGTCAACAAATATATAATGCTCATCCGATGTTGAAATCCGGATTTTAATGGCATATCGAATGCATTAGTGATTCATAATGAGACAATTTGGTTCATTCCGACGTTTGTTTTGAATGGAACAGAATGTTTTTAAAAGAAATACGACTGATATTGTTACTCAAAGTCATACGTAAGTCAAATCTTATTATCATTTATATTTTCATGATTTTATTCTAAAGCTATTGTTAATGCAGATTCTAAAGTTTTTTCTGCGAAATCGTAAACAATACATTGATAAAAAAATGAGAAACATACATGTTGTTAAACAGTGATTTGATTGTCATCATATAACCAAATGTAGATTTAGTACAAAATATACACAAATTTTACATATTGTTAACATAACTACCTCAGCTTAAAGAAATAGACATAAACATATCATTAAATCATAAAGTATTTCATACGACAAAAGATATAAAAGTGAATGGTTTTAAAAAGGCAAGGGAAAAAAAAGGGTTTCAATTTGGAACCCCTAAAGGCATTTAAAGGGGGGCAAAGGTTTTTTGAAACGACCTCCCGATTTTTTAAATACATATAAACCCCATAATAAGGGAAAGCTTAGGGCAAAATTCATCATTTTTTAAAAAATTTAAGTGTCATTTTCATTGATGTATCTAAACTTTTTTATAGAAAAAATGCTATTTTACAGAGCACATTTACTGCGACTATCTAGGCCTACCCCATTTTGAAAGTGAATGGCTAACTATAGAGGCCCAGAGTATGTTATCCGATCTGTATGTCGAACATGGTCTTGCGTCCGTACCCGGTCTTGTCGAGGTTCTTGTGAAAGCAGTTGACGGTCCAAACAAGGATTTCATCTTCAAAGCAATAGGTAATATTAACAAAGTTTAAGTTTTGCTGAAACATAAAAATCGATGTTTTCCCCCGTTGAATGTTTAAATCGAAATCTTGTTATTAAATCGTTTTTCTTATGATTACAAAAGAAGTTTAAAAGTAGGACAAGAACTACACACGTATTTGTGCTTAGTTGACATTTCAGTTCGTTCAATGTACCTGTACAATAACAGTTTTGGAACAGTTTCATTCAACGCTTCTAATTTCTTTTCTCCGACTATACATTTCGGTGTTTTATTGCATGTCATTTATTTCAATGTTTTATACTGATGTACATTGAATACTGCTCAAGGCAGTTCTAGGGACATGAGCGATGATCCACATTTTATTATCCCACGTGAGCAGACTCATTAAACCCAATTTTTACTTAAAATCTTTGTTTAAGAGCGATATACCGTTTGCCAGATTTCTAAAGAAAAATGAATTTTACAATTTACATAACCCTATCCACGAGTCATTTCTTAAATTTTCATCAACATCATTTATCAGTTTCCGAAAAAAAAATTTATTGATTGAATAGAGAACTATAGAGACTATGATTAGACGACACGGTCTCGTGTATCAGCCAAAAAATAAAACAGGGCAGTTGATGTGTCAATTATCTTCAGATAATTTCATGAAAATTTAATAATGATAAAATGCTCATGAACACTTTCTCCCTGCGTGTTTATGGCCTTTTTTCTTTACATAATGTCTATAAAGATTGCAGGTGTGGTCAAAATTCAAGTTAACAGGGGTATCCTCATCAACCAAAGTAGTGGTTAATCCAATGTCACATTTAGAAACTGGGATAGCTAAAAAATGCTGTTTACTTTAAAACCCCAAATTCAAAGAATCCGCGCCCCCTTTTTCCTAAATTTTGTGGGAAAAGCGGGGTTGGGAATTCACCCAATGGAGTGAAATATTAAAATTTTATCTTTTTAAGGGCCCTTTTTTTAATTAAATTAAAAAAAAATATTTAAATTTCCCTTTTTAAAATAATAATTTGAAATGTTTTAATTTCATTGATTACATTATTTAAAAAATTTATTTTTTTGGAAAAAAATGGGCCAAAAGAAAATTAAAGGAATATTTGGCCCACTTAAAGGTAAAAAAATGATAGAAAAATAGAAAAAACAAAGGTAAAATTGGGGTACTTTTATTTTGGTGTAATTCCCAGCGCTAAAACCCCAAAAGTACAGGAAAACGGGGGTTTAGGCTAAATTTTTTCCCAAAAAATCAATGTAGGTTTTGTTTCCCTTTAAGGGGCGAATTTAACCCTCCCTTTGGGGTTTAAATTAAAGGGGAAAAATTGGGGCCCTTTTTTTTCAACACCAAAAGGAAAAATTTGGGGAGGCTGGTTGGGTTTTTAAAGGGGAATAAAAATATCACCGGAAAAAACCCAAAAGGGTATTTTTGATTTGTTAAAAAGGGGGGGGGTAGCCCCGAGTATAAAACAGATTAACGGGGAAAAGGTTTTTGGTGTTCCTTTCTCTTTTGTTTTCATTGGGCAAACCCTAAAAAACCACGGGTTCCCCGGTTTTCAAAAATATGAAACCCCCTCCCCAAAATGGGGGAAGGGAAGAATCAACATGTTTAAATATGACATTTCTTGGGCCGGGTTTTCCCTTTCTCTGCCCTCACAAAAATGTAAAAACCCCAAAACAAATTTTAGGGCCAATCAAAAAAGGGGGCTGGGGGGTCTGGGGGTGGGGTAAAATAATAAAACCCGCACTCCAGTTAACGCACTGTGCATGTATATGTATAACGATTTAACCCTGACACATTTCAAAAACAGAAAAGATTCCCCAAACTATGATACAAATGTTATATAAAAATATTCACATTTTAATAAGATATACTAAATGCTCAAATTCGATTATCAAAAAAAAAAAAAGATAATTAGGCTACAAACACAGTCTCTTTTTGTAAAATATGAAATAAACATGTCTTGACTTCACACAAAGTTAATATGTCATGTTTAAAACTCTACACACATAGGTCGTCACAATATAAATATAAAGTGTCGTTAAAAAACTGGCAGTTTTTTTTTTAAAGAAAAGACCAACTTTGTTTGTCCTGTATTAGAGAACGTGCCTTCCAATATAGTTTATTATTTATTTTTTATTTAAATTAGACATATTCAGTAAGAATTTCATAGGTTTTAATAAATTTCTTCGATTAAAATATTTTACTCAAATATGAGCATAGTATATCTTTAAAGGAGTAATTTTGAAAACCAGTGTTAGTCGATAAGGTTCTTCAGACCTCTGTTCCGCTGTCCTTCCCTTATGCCTTCCGAAACAAATAAAGAAACAAGAAGTACATAAGAGTTTGATTTATGCACACTGGATAAAATTTATTAATAACTGCGTGTGTTAATTCTAATTGATGACAAACAAAATGTACTTTAATCATTATTTGTAATGTAAATGGAAAAATGCTATAAAGGTGAACCATCAAAGTGTTTCAGTATTCAGCAAAGACTACAAGGTATTCTTCCGGACAAGGGGCATTTCAATTTCTGTTTCTGAAAAATAAAATGTTTAGTTTACTATATGTGTTTTAATTTATTTATACAGTCAAAAGGCAATTAAAAAATGATATGTTTAGATAAATACTATTATACTGTTAAGATAAAATAAATATTGCGTAGAGAAAAATCAAGCTTAAAACTTGAAACAATTACATATGCCTTTATTGCAAAATTCTTGACTTTATATTGAAACTAGTTGACAATTATGTATTCAGGAAACGGTGAGAGAGATGACGATTTAAACGACAATTACGGCGGAATTATCTATATTTATAATGATAAAGAAGTACGGGTTATGGCACCAAAAAGAGCTAATAGCCAAAACATGGTAAAATATGGTGTAGCAATTTACACAGGTAATAAATATATTTGATATAAAAACATAGGTGCCAAGCAATCTTATAAAAATCATTGTCGTTCCCATACATTTAAGCGACACATATAATTCAAGAACTGAATAGCTTCGACGTAAGAAGGTTTTAGATTCAGTTTGTCATAATTGTAAAAATTTATTTAATGTGTATCTTAAAAAAAAACTCTTTAAACCCAAAATAAGTGGGTAGCAGGAAAAATTAAACAATATATCCCTTTAGAATAATGAAGAAAAATCTTATACTTTGTCCCAGTTTAAAATTTAATTTTACCTAAAAGGGGAATTTTTTCCCCAAAAAATATATTTATAAAAGCATTTAACTTATACTTTAAGATGTATAAATGGATTGTGTTAATAATGTTAATAGTGAAAACGGTAATTAAGTAGATTAATAAACTGATTTGCAAATATATTATCAATGATTTATGTTCGATAATTCAATGATTTATGTTCGATAATTCACAGAATAAAGAGTGTTTTAAAATGTAATTACAGGCGAATATCCGTTTTGGCTTGGAATTAACAACCAAAAAAGTTTACAAGCTAAGGTCAAAGTCCGTTGTTGGAAAGCTTCGGAATTACTGACTCCATGTTTCAGCACAACAGGCCATTTTATGGCTGCTGGTTCTAATAAACGTAAGTCAAATGCGATTACGGATGAACAAAACATAACTATTAAACTGTTTTTATTTAATTACATTCTGCTTAAAAAGAATAAACGTGCTGCAAAATGATATCGCAAGTGACACTAATGGACTTCAAAATCTCGAACTTCTACCTTATTTTACAAATACAGATCATTCATAAATACTAAAAACACACTAATATGACGACATAATACTTTTCATTCCAAAATTTTCATATAATAGAATTTGTCACTACAATATCAAGGCTGAAAGTCAAGCATATTAATCAAGGCTTAAATAATAAATGAAAAGTTTTCTTAAAAGTTTTATTTAATACAAAAAAAAATGCTTACTGAATTATGCTTCTCGTTAGTTGGCGAAACATATTTGGAGTTGAGCCATTCATTAGACGACTACCCAGCGTTAGTGAAGGTTCGGGCCAATATGATTGACGGCTTGGATCCCGGATGGTACACAGACGCTCAAGGTGGATTTTCAAACTTTATTTGTATCACTTATGTCATTTATTTCATAAAATACATGAAGTCTATGGCCAGGCTGCTGGGTCTTGTGAATTTGTTTTCCATGCCTATTTTTTTTTATCTTATATTATGTCTTTATGACTTAAGCCGGTGATAGAGGGCGTGGACGGTAGTTTGCACTTGACAGTACCGTCCATGAACAGGCTCAATCAAACCGAGCCTGTAACATTTTCAATTTTGCCGTTTCTGCCTCTCTTTTGGGATTCTTTTTTCTCTATTCTATGTGATCACGAGACCTAAAATTGCTTACATATTTCACACATTAAAGGGACTCCAATGAGATTTTTGACATGATGGGACTTGAAATATTTCTTCGAGAAAAGTGTTCCATTTGGTGTAAATCTAGAGCAATAACTTGTATGCCAAAATTCATATCACTCTCTTATTCCATCATTTATTTTTTTTCCAGAAAAATTATTTATTGTAAAAAAATGACTCAGAGTTGCAATAAATTGTCACTCAAATCGGGCGAAGAAATTATAAAAGTGCGATTTTAATTTTGTTTTGGAATATTTCTTAATTATATGTTGTATAATTATATATTTCTGTTTCAAGTGCCCTAGTTCATCTTTGTTTGTAATTCATATAGTATGTTTTAGGCTTTTAGACCTCCTTAGAGATTCTTTTAATGTTTAAGGTTTCATGAAAACCGCTGTTTTAACACATCTGCGGATATTTAAAAGTTCCAAATTTAACCATTTCATGTTTAATGTTGAATACTGCTTAAGCGGGTGCTAAAGGGCATGGAAGGTTACCTTTTACTTTCCAGTACCGTCCATGAACAGGTCCAATCAAAGAGAATCTGCAACATTTTCAGTTTTTTCGTTCTATGCGTTCTTTAGAGATTCTTTATTTATTTCTATTATATCGCCACATCAGCGTGTATTATTATAACATGACTATTTTATTAAAAAAAAAAACACACACACAAAAAAACACAGCAATTTTTTATCATGAAGACAAAATCTAACTACGGTGTGACGCAACTGTGCTTGGTTACACGGATATATTTTTCATATATAAATAGCTAATAACATTGAAAAATTTAGTTGGAATTATAAAATGAGGTTTTATATAAGTGGTTTGGGTGATTGAAAAACGTTAATAAGAAAAAACAGTGAGGTGAAAAACGTTTTTCTATTAACATATAAACATTTGGGTATGTCCATTCATCAATTGACTTATTTTCATTTATTCTTCTAACTCTTTCATAAAATACCCTATGTGACACTATATACGGATAGAGACTTCCAGTAGTCAAATTCAACAAATACTCCTAAAATGTGTATATGTATTGCAACACAATATCTGCCCACTATACTATAACGTATGAAATCATTTTCCTCGTCTTTTTTTCTTTCAGGATCTGCTTTGATCAGTTTTGACACAATGCGTTACCGTCATCTTACCGGGGGTCTGAAATATGCTTATGATAACAACACTATCAGGATTTGGACCTCATCTTGGCCATCACCAAGTAATTTTGTACATTGTTGTTGTTTTACTCTAAATTAGTCTGTATAATAAAATGATTGTTGAAGGGTGACATCTTGGGCATCAATAACCATTTGAAATTGTTCAAATATAAAAGAACAGTAAATTAAGTGTTTATTGTACAATATACGTATTTAATAAAGGATAATAAAGACTGTTTATATAGCATGGTCAGTATACAGTGCCATCATGTCAATATATACACGTTTCAAACAATGGTTGCTTAAAAATAATTATATTTTGAAGTAGGTTCTTTCCATTTGAGAGAAAATAAAATAATGTACATATCTGCTTATGATGATATCTAACAATAAAAAAAAATAATAAAAAAAGAAAAATAGAAAAGAAAAAGGAAAAAGGACCCCGCAAAAAAAACCCTGAAAGTATTTGATAGATGATTGGATTTTGCCATTTTATATCTTATGTTTAAGGTTTGAATCCAGACATTTACAAACAATGTTAAACTCATATCGTTGTCTCCTAATGCTTTAAATAACAGAAAAAAAAATCTACTTGCTTACAGACCTTTTTACGACGCGGTCCGTTGCTATGAAAAATCGATCGTAAGTAGTATTTTCTGGCGCATGGGCAAAAAGAGTATAGCCCTACATAGAAATATAGTAGAAGTTCATAAAGTTCATAGACAATTCCGAGTTAGTTTAAGGTTAAAAGTACAAACTTATATGAAATAGCTAATAACAAATACATATTAGATGCCTCTATAGCTTTGTGGCCAAGACTGCCATGAAAAGGCAAAAGACAGTTGATTGTTTAAGAATTCGCCCTTAAGACCACGACCTGGCATTGACATTTACATTGTTTGTATCTATTAGCAAATAAACATGTCAGCATATTTTTTGTTGAAACAGTTCATATAAATACTACAGAAATTTTAATAATATATGAAATCGAGGTTAATTATCATTCTGAAAAAAATGTCAGAATACGTGATAATGTATTTTAAGTTTTCACTGATTTTAACCTTTTAATATTCGATTGATGCTTAGCAGAAAATTTTTAAGTCACACAAATATATTTACATAATTTAAAAAAAATGAGAAATTAATTGATATACATCCCTGGGTATACTGGATACCGGGATTTTTCTGAACCACTGTTATGATTCGTGACCGTGTTGGATAAATTATCTTCCCCTTTTTATATTGGAAAGAAATAGAGAGAATGCAAAGGAGAAAAACGAAATATGGACACTTTTGTCAACATTCTTTCTTGAATTAAGATGTCAGTAATCATTTAACCTAACTAGATCAGTATTAACCTTTCAAAAATTTATTTCATTTATTTTCATTGCACCATCTGGATGCCTTTGACTTTAAAATATCGTCAATATGTTTTTATTTACCGAAAATACTTATTTAGATAAATCAATTTATTTTATATAAGGTGATTATTGTTTCATCATTCAGGCGGTGCCATGTTTACCCGCTATGATGGCTGGGGTAACCAAAATGTGTTAACGGGAATAACAACCAAAGGCTTAGTTGATGTGTTTGCATGGTGCAATCTGGAAGTGTTTGTTGAGGAAACAATGCATTTCGGTCCTGCTCATAAACTTGAAGACTTTGAGATCGCATTGCCAATCTCCGTTCCTGTCTCACAAATGATCATGACCTCTGTAACGGTACGTCACAGACTCGTTTTTGCTAGTTCCATAATTATTGCATTTGATCCGTAAAAATTGCACTGAATAACTAGACTTATCTACTTAAGGTAACACATAGAAACAATTTCTATTTGCTACGAGTCATCATACAATACACCCAGGAGGTTATTGTAAATAATTTAGAAATATGTAAAACTACAATGAGTCTTTTCTTTATACAAACACTGTATATCAAACGCATTATTAGCATCCATTATATGACATTTCACTTGATACACTATAAAATACAGTACATTTGTGTAAATTTTTGTGAACAGTTAAAACGGATGACAGTGTTATCGAAATTAACTTTTAGGTGGAAGTTGAAGATGGACCAAACAAAGGTTATTTGTTTGAAGGTGTTGGAAGTGCGATGTCTAATTTTCTAGATACAGGCGGTCAGCCTTGTCGCTATGGAGGGCTTATATATGCATACAATGATACAATCCTTCGGATATGGCGGCCTGGTGACGTCACAGGTGCAGCTGTTTGTATTCCCGACACCATGGGATTTGGAACAAATTCACAGTCCTCGCAGAACGGGAAACTCATTTTTAAAGTTTATCAAATATATGGTGACTATATATTTATATTATGTTCGGATGATACTTAAACATAACGGACCTATTTTTAACCCAAAACTAAAGCTATAATTGCTTTGTTTGTGAAGCTGTGAGAACCATCGTTATGTTTCTTTTCCCCAAAAGTCATGTTTTCCAAATATCACGTTACTCCCAAATGTCACGTTATTCCAAAAGGTCACGTTACAAAGTAGCATGAATTCTTCATATCAGTAACCAACAATTTTCCTCTTTAACAAAAACGTGAGCTAAATTGTCAGCCCTTTCATAATCACAAGTCTTGAGTGTATGTGCAGATACTAGTAGACTAGACAAAACATTTACGAAATATGTCGCTCTTTATTGCACTAACAACCTTTGATTTCATGTGTTAGGCAGATACATTCTATGAATTATATCATATTAAAGATTTTATTTTCAGAACAAGCAAAGGAGAATGCACCGATGCGTTTTGTTTGTAGCCATTTCAAATTGCTTGGAAGTGACGTTGCATATAATGACAATCCGATCGATATTCAGAAAATGACGTCAGTACCATTGTGTTATCAGGCGTGTAGTCAGCATAGCGCATGCGCAACATATGCGTTCCACAATGAGACCTGTCAGATTTACAATACAACTGACGCATCACTTCTTTTTACCAAAAAACAATCACAAGTATGGGGATTAAAGTTTCGAGCCACGAACCCGTAAATGATTAAACACCATGTGAACTTTCTGTTGATGATAACTTCTTACAGTTTTGGCCAAGTGCTGTTGATAATTAATTTTAGTAATTATATTATCGCAGCGACAAGAAAAGACTGAATTTGTTGTAATTTAGAGTTGTCCTCATAACAATTATTTGAAGTTTTCCATTAATAATCTTCACAATGCATAACATTAATTGTAGTCAAATAATAAAGAGATTCAAGTGTTCATTCTATTTAGATATAAACTGTTTGACGCGTATGGTTATTCTTGAAACAGAACAATGAATGTCATGTGCTTTAGCACAAACAAAACAGTTTCATAAATATGTATATAAAACAGACGAGTTATATGCATTAGAGTTTTTGAATAAATGTCTGATTATAGTTAGAATAAAACTTGATGACCGCCTACAAATTTATTTTCATGTCTTTAAGAGTCAATCGTGTTCACTTCCATTAACTGATTTTCTATATAAATCTATATATTTTTAAACTGTATGGTTTGAAAAAAATAAGTTAACTGTCGATTTTCCACCGAACATATTAAATATAAATACGAACGGAAGCCTCTGTGAGAATACAATAAGATACAAAAATGTCTTATTCATGTGTCAAGCAACGCTGTATAATAATGGAAATTGATTATTATAATTATTATTGACTACTTTTCAACGATATTTCAATAACCCGCTAAATAAAATCACAGGGGTTCTATTTACCACTCCTTTATAACACTATATACATGTATATTATAAGAAATATCCGACAGAATTAAGAATATTTGCTCTTTGAAATGGTCAGTTATTGTTTGACCTTCAAATTTGATCAATAAATGTAAAGATTTTGTTGTTGTTGATCATAAAGTATCACTAAAATAACAATGAATGCGTTTATAAAACAAAACTATTAGATTTCATATTTAAAGTACAAGGCTTATAATAACTTATTATCGTTATAGTGGAAAGGTCATTTCATATAAATGTACATTGTAATTTTTGTAAGCTACAATGTATATCAAATAGAACACCTTATACTGGCTCGTATCAAAGCGACAATGCCTAGACCGACCATGTAAGATTGAAGCAAAATATTGACGTAAAAGTATCAAAATAATGTATAATCTGTTTTATCAGGGTAATGATATATCTGCGTTATAATAATATAGTTTTCATCTAAATATAAAGTTAACTTTTTGTATAGTTAAACTTGACACTTTGCAAGTCAATTAAGGTGCGGTCAAAATATATGTTAGTAAGACCTTCGTGAAATTGGTAAAAGAAATGTACTTGTATAGCTCATAGAGATAGGTAATTGGCCAGACTTTGAATCGTTTTGGCAACAGGTTCACTCAAGCAAAGACGTTTCCACGCCCGATAAAAAACAACCTTACATCTGCCCCATGTTAATTGTAGCCAGGTTTAACTTTTTGTACCAAAGGGATCGCGTTTCTTTTCTTCTTTTCTACACTTTGTTTTAAATAACAATCATTTCAGATATAATCTTAAACCGAAAGGATTTTGAAAAATGAAGAAAATAATTACAATTTAATCTATGACAGCCGAAAGTTACATTTGCACGAGTATACACTTAAGCGCTATAGAAAGGTAATTAAAAACTTTGAAAATCGGTACAAGAAAAGTAATTGACAGCCTGTTGTCACCGTTCTATTTCTTTCCTTATAATTTAGCTCAAAATTTTAAAATGCTTTACAGAATTTCCATCCATCTGTCTCTGACTTAAAATGGCATTTTACAAAACTGGTCAGACAGATTTACAAAATCTTTAAAATATGTAAAATTGCAATGTCTGATCGTTGTTGTCTTGATTTTATAAGTATACAGTTTATTTCATTATTTCCTCGGTCTTGATATTGTTGTACTTACAACGTTATAAACATTATGCAATTGTTTGCATAATCCGGTAATTAAAGTTTTTATTTCAGATAAGTTAAAGTTTAGGCTAAGCTTCAATCAAATATTACAAAATGTTAAACCTGTGCCGATGCGTGCGCACTTGATTTTTAGTATCAATAAAGATATAAAATACCGTTCTAACTCGAAGCACCACAATCACCGTAAAAAGGTAGCAAACAGCGGACCAAAATGCGCACTCTAGCAATCATCGCTTTGGGGTTTTTTGTCGTCGCGTCAGCCAGGCCTAGTTTTGAGGTACTTTGCATTTTCTTTCGATTTTTCTTTAGTTTATATATTTTTGCGATTTACTGATTTATATCTAAGTGAATTTTCAAAAATTGTATTTATAGGCATTTTTAGCATGTTTAGTCGCCATTTTTGTCTTGTACATTAAAATCACTGCCAACGAAAATTAACAAAAATTATGCAGTGACTTTAAATTTATTACATGTATAAACATCTAAATGAAATATTAGTTAATTATTGATGACAAAAAATGCATATTTTTCGTTTTCCGTATTTTCACTGTAAAAATTTATTTATCACGAAGTCTTTCAAATTGCTATGTCAATAAAAAAAGAGAAAAACTGTATAATCATAACAACCATAAAATTCAATTTTTTCCTATAAACACATAATCTTATGAAAATTATCATATTTCACTCGTGGCGACCGCTTCTCATTAATATTCATTTTCATACCATTCGATGAAAATATATCCAATATTTATAGAAAAAACTTGGATATCCTCTGTTTGTCTGTTTACATGTCTATTTACAAGCATAATTAATACATGTGTCAATTAAAGAAAATCTAAATACGGGTAATTTATTTGAGACAAAAACACAATTTACACTAAGTAACATTTCTTCAAAACATTATGGCGACATATTTTGTTGTAATTTTTGGAACTGCTTGAGTATAAAGCCTTTTCCACTACTTACTTTCATATCGATTTAAGGCTGTACTTTGGTACTTTCATGATTTAATTTGTTTATATCAAGATTCAACATAACTAACATTAGATACAAAATATATTTGTTTTGAATCAGAAAAAAGTAATGTAATGTTTTGATTTAACTCTATTCCATGTACCTATCTGTTTTTGTCTAAAACACTGTTTTATTTTAAAAAAAAGTGAAACAAGTTTTCACACGAAAACTGTTGTTTTGAACTTAAGCATTAAAATGATTTTGCTGTTTTTTGACAATAAAAAATCAGTACAAATCTGATATGGCTAGTTTTCAGACTTTTTTATTTTAATTTTTATTTTAAATTACATAACATACAACAGTCGCTTGTTCGGCAACTTCCATTTTCATTTATTTCGATACTGCTTTTATTTGGCAAGACAAAAAAAACTGAATATAGTTTTTTTTAATTATTTACCATAATATATCATTTGTTTTATTCTAAAACATATGTACAATGTATTATAAAGTCATATGATCGATCTGTCTTGTCTTCTAATCTTTATGTATTCTTTAAATTTTGTTACAGAATGTGCAATGTAAGTATTTTTCTTAGATGTGTTGAAATATGACCTTATATTTCATTTAGCTAATTTCGAGATAGTCTGCTACTACCTCTTCCTTTCAACTAAAACATAATTTCATCTAGATCAGTAGAACGCGTGTAAATGCTTCTACGGGATTTTAGTATTCTTCTCTGCTAACGTTAAAGTGAATTGGTCTAAAATTGAAGAACTGTAATATCATGTATTATTATGTATTCAGTACCATAAATGACAGCAAACCTCATATGAATAATATATATGGATGTTGTTGATAGGTGTCAGATATATTGTCCCATCTGTACATATCTGTATATGGCAGACAATAAATTTTTATGGTGCAAAAATATTATTTTCCATCATATAAATAGTCAAATGGTACAAAGTCACTTAGAACTTTATAACATTTATTATTTCAAAAAATATTTCATAAATTATCTAAATGATACATTACTATTGTTTTTATCAATATTTGACATACTTATTGAAAATGTGCCGATTGTAGACCAATTCACTTTAATGCGGAAACCGACAATAGCCAAATTCGGGCCACTGACTATTCAAATGTATCATATTAATACTTTTAAACAACATTTACTCAAAATAACTGCTTTGCTCTAGCAAACTATCTTTGGGTGCCTGAATTTTAATGATAATAAGTATTATAAAGTTCAGGTAACAAAAGGAAAAACCGTTCTTTCGATTGTAAACATGACCTTCAAAGCGTTTATACTTAAAACCTAAATTTTACGCCTTAATCATTGTTTGTATTTTACTATGTTATTCTCTTTTTATTATATTTTAAAAAAACCTGTGATGTTTTGATAACAAGGAGAACACTTTTTTACATATGGGGATAATCTGTTAACCATCAAATGATAACCTTTATACAATGTTTTATCAAATATAATTTGGCACTGTTTCATCAGACAGTCAAAAATTCAGTTTTTAATTGTGAGTAATTGAATAGAACTTAAACTTATGAGAATAAATGGAATAACAAATAAACAAATGGAATATTGGGTCCGGCAAATTTTAATTCTAAATACGTTTTCCTTTCCTATCGTTTTGTGCGAAGTTGAGGTCAGACTTTTTCTCTAATTTTTGTTCATTTATATTACTAGCTAAAATATGAAATGTAAATTTCCATGAACATACATGTATTCGCAAAAAGGCGTTTAAAGTACAAAAATATCATTGTAATGCGTGGGGTATGATATAAGCGTGGGACATGTTATTTTAGTTTATTTAGTTTTCTTTGGCTTTTATTAATGAATTCAAAGGAATGGAAATAATTTGTCATAACACCACTGTAACATTGTAAGATCACTAGTGGCTGAAAACATTACTTTACAGCTGTTATACTTATCAATAAAAGAAATTCGTAATTTTATTCTTTTATACTTATATAAACATTATTTTAGTACCATTTGTTTGACTGTAATTGAATTATACCTACCTTTTTATTAGCTGCCAAAGGCAAATCCTTGACGTCTCATTGTTAATTTATTGCTTGTCGTAATCCCTGAATAAAAATACGGTACAATTCAATTAAAATATACAAATAATTCTAGTATCAACAAAACGATTTCAACAGATATACTGACATTAATCAAATTAAAATATTTACCAAGTACCTAAACCTCTGTCATTGATCCGCAAATATTAACAATCGTTTACAGATTACAATTCAATTGAATTCAATTCAATTGATTCAGAATATGGACAAAAACATGTTTGTCGCCAGAATAAACAGTTCGTTTCTCTGTTTATGGTTATTTGCATTTCTATGATGCATACATGTAATAACATGATAATAATACGATAAGTCGTTTACATTATACTGAAACGACAGTTTGTAAATTGAAAATATTTACAGTTCATGCATACTGTTACTAATGTATGATACTTGAAATGAAATTTTATTTATTAAATTTATTGTAAAAAATACACTTGTCGCAAATACTATAATGTTTATATAAAAGAAGAAATATATATAATACATGTAACAATGGTGATAACAATGATAAATTTAATGATAATGGTGATGGTAATGATAATATTAATACTAGCAAGGCTGCTGGTGTTGATGATATTGATGATGATGACAACAGCGATGGTGATGGTGGTGATGATGGTGATAATGATGATGATATTTGTAACAATGATGATGATAAAGATGTTGCCGATGGAGAAGAAGAAGAAGATGATAATGATGATGTTGATGATGGTGATGATGATGGTGATGATGGTGATGATGATGATGATGATGGTGATGATGATGATGTTGGTGATGGTGATGATGATGATGTTGGTGATGATGATGATGATGATGATGATGATGATGATGATGTAATTCATTAGTTAAAAAAAACTTATGATTATAGCTGTAAAATTCCACTATCAAGATATTTTGTTTTGATAGCAAACTTGAACTTAGTAAATATTTAATTTTCAAATTATTTTTGGCTTTTAAACATTATATAAATTCAATGAGCTTATTACTTAACTAATATGTGATTATATTACTTTTGCAGCAAGGTTTAAAGAAATGTTAAGTAAGTATTTTTCAATATTAAACTTACAAAACACGAGAAAATTATGTTTAAACTGTCAACGTTAGCTATATGTATATAGTCAGATCAGTTTTTAAACTTACTAGGTTGACCTTTTAATCCCAGAAATGGATTAAAGGCACATTATGCTTCATTTTCCACATTTCTTTTATTACCTAGAAATTTCAAACATGTGTTTAATAATGTTTTGATTATGGATGTAAGCATGTCTGTTGTTTAAACAACCGAAGAAGTGGCGCTGAACATGCAAATAATGTGTTGTTAAGGTAGCCATACAAATACTGATTCGCTATTATTACAGCAAATGCCAACATAACAAAATCAGCAAAAGACAGTTTATTTATATGGCAAATGAGTATTTTTGGACACTGTTACAAGGTACACAAATTAAAAAAGTTTTGAATAGTAAAAATGATAGCACTTCTCAGGCATATTGAGCCTTAAATATGTATTTTTACATTTATTAAGAACAATTCTATTATAATACAGTTATTCCGGAAATGCATGCATCCATGTGATACTTTTTCATCTGTAATTTAAGCCTTTAAAAAATTTAATGTATTTACATTTTTGACATGACGGGAATGGATATAAACTGTTCATGTGTTATTTGATGCAGGCCTGGACCAGTAAAGCTTGTTCATATTATTCGCTCACTCCTTTTTTGTCCCAAAACGATCATTTACATTTTGCATAATGATAAAAAGAGGGAGATGAGTGTATGTATGAATCGCACAAAAAAGTCAATTTACCATTTTTATTCTGTTTCAAGTGCACCGTTTGATCTGTGTAAGAATATCAAATTTTTGATTTGTAGGCTATTTGACCAGGCGGAGTTCATTTAATTATTACCAGCTCTGAATTTTGTTTACCAACTTGCATTTCTTATGGAAGACAATATCCAAGCAAAAATATACGTACAAAATAACAGTATAAGTTAAAAGACTGTTCCACCGATGGTTATGTCCGTACTAAGAGTTTGTTTAAACTGTTTTACCTTGATCATTTAGTATATGCATGTGTCATGGACCACTGTTGAAGTAAGTATTTGGTTGTTGTTTAGACATTCTGCCAATATTTTCATAGAAATCATGGCGGCCTTACTAGGTAATAACTTACTTAGTTGCACCTCTTCACGCATACACAACAATTATTTTGCAATTTTGCTTGCAGAAAACATTGATGAAAGAGCTTCTACTCGTCCAAAAGTCAGATTTGATCTTCCGAAAGAAGATCAAAGAGAATGTAAGTAAACTGTATAGAATGTTAATATTAAGTTTAACAAGACATTTTACTAAACAGGTTTGCGAAATGTTCAGTTTTTAGATATAAATTGCATTTCTAGAAATGTTCACGGATGAAATATGTAGTTAATCTTTTTTTCATTTTGTTTAAAAAAAGCGAACTAACAATACCTCCTTTTCAGTAAAGGGGTCAAGCTGTATGATTTCTTTTTACAGTCAATCCTTCAAATAAAGACCACCGGAAGAAGAGACCAAACTTACCCTAGTAGACTGGTGGTCTTTATTTGGAGGTTACTCTGTTCTATTTAATCAATGAAGGATTGTGGTCTTTATTCACAAGTGGATCTTTAATCGGTGCTGGTTTTAACACAGGTTTAACTGTAAACAGAGTGTTTCAACTCAGTTTTGTCAGTATATTGATTCCCGGCTTCAGGGGCAATTGGTATACACAAGTTTATAATCAGTTTACGGGTATGATATATGGGACAATTACAAACAGATTTCAATAGAGCTTTCGCTTTTCTTGTGCACTATTTTAAATATTGCCGTATTTGATGTTTTTGTTTCCTCTATTTTAACATGTAATACTAGTATGTAGGAAAGACAGAAGTACTATGACATACCATACATTCACATTTATAAATCATGGACTTATTTTATAATTATCCATGTTTTTATTTTATTGCAGCTGATCTTCGTGAACTGCTGAGTAAGTAGAATTTTGTTTCCATATCAAAGGCTGCTTATAAAGTAATAAATGCTCGTTTATAAATGGGAAAAACAACGACAATAAAAAATAAAATAAATATATAATAAATAGATCAATAAATAAAAAAACATTGCTCGTTTTTGTTGTTAAAATTTTAAGTTTTCCTTTACTGCTTCAATGCACACACGTGCAAATGCAGACAGAATGGGTCTTTATCTAAAAAAAAAGAAGAAATATTATGTTTTGTTGTATTCATCAATAAATGCTCGACATGAAAATATTTTCGTATTTTATAATGTAGTTATAAAGCGTTTAATTGACATTTGGTTAATCAATGTGGCCATACCACGTGACTTTTCGGGTACGGAACACGCCGATTTTTCACCCGATTCAGGTATGTTTTTTATTCATAACTTATTTATTACTCAACCGATTTTGATCAGATAAGGCGCAGAGTACCCGTAATTATATCAGCTTTCCGCGGTATATCAAAATTCTGAAAAAAACCCCTGAATATTTTTTGAGAACATTCGAGTACAGTTTTCTTCTCATAGCAGGGGCCGAGGGGAACGGTACACACTCATTTGTCATGACAAGAGATTTCTTGCAAGTCATATGTTTTTTGTCACTATTTTATAGAAAAATACATGTTAAATCTGATATATTTAATATGTTCAATGTATCGAGTGAATGCAGTGATGTTTTAGCATATTTTCATAAAGTTATATGTTGAAATGGTACGGAACACACTGTTATTTAAAAAGATACGGTACACACTCAATTTCTGTCTTTGAAATAATTCTAAAATAAAGTATATGAAAATTTAATTTGAATTATAATATGAGTGATTTGTTTTCATAGTTATACATTTTATTAATTTAAACGAGAATACTGGGATCTGTTTTGAAATGCCTACAGTTTGATGTAAACAGGATTACTAAAAAAAATAAAAGAACATTTTGAGAGTACGTAGCGCAAAATTCGATTTTAAATGTTAAACAATTAATATTTGGCTATAAAATGTTAATATTTTAGGGAGGGATACGGAATACATTCAAAACTGTGTTTGTTTTGTTTTTCATTTGAAATAATTATGTTTATTTTTTCGGATTATAAAACAAATTATGAAATTCATGGACATCTGTTATGTGCGATTATTCTTCCATTTAATTTTTTGTTCGAATATATAAATGACTGTCTAAACCGAGTATGAATATAAAAAAACAAACAAGCAGTTAAATGTTGATCGAATCTGGAGAATTTGGAGAAAAAACGCTGGTTTTGATGAAAGTGGATTATTTAAATCACGGAAAGTTTAAAGTATTTTTCTGCAACATGATATTTGGTATGATTCATCTGCCAGGGTCCCAAACTAACTGCATGTATTTAATTATCAAATTATCTACATATGGACAAAGATATTCCGCAGTTTTACATGCAATCAAAATAAAAAGCCAGATAAATTGAAGAACCCATATGGGAACAAGGTCTGTTATATAACGTAACGTAGTTTACACAAGGTAACCTTGTTACATATGCATGTAAGAAATTTTGGTGAAATTATGCCTATCTTGGACTTTCATTTAAAGATGCTTTAAAAACATGATTTCATGGATATGTGTGCTTGCGTGTTTGTGTTAAAAATAAAATGATTAAACAATGTCTTACGAGGATAGTGCACTCCAAGTACACTTTTGATATTTTTATTAATACCCAATAATATTAAGAACGTCGGTCATTCTACTCAGGTGCCCGTTCGTACCTTTATATATATCTAAAGGGGCACTTGTAAAACTGGAAAGTCGCCACATGATCATGTCAGTTTTGGTGAGCCGTGAAACCAAACCAAAAATGACCTATATTACCTGAATTAAAAAGTTATTCTTAAAGCTTCATGCCTTTAAACATAAAAAATTTAAGCCATGGCAACTACATTTTTATTTGTTTGGGTCGTCAGACCAAACAAATAATTGTAGCGAAATTTCAGACTCTAATATGCTTATTTGCAACATCAGAAAGTAGTCCGAACTCCTGGAAGCGGTTACTTACCTTTATAAGTACTCTAACACCGATAAAATAAGGGGAGATCACTGCGTAAAGATAGTCAAATGACAGGCGCATTAATTTTCAAGCCTTCTCAGGGGAAGAAAAGTACTTTCCGATTGGTCAAAGGTTTCAAATATTGTGTCATTCTTTACAGATATACATGCAATAATAAGCTCCATGATTATTTACACCAGTGTTAAACGAAATAAATAAGGGTTACAAACTCTAATTTAGAATGATATGGTTTCTTCAGGCTGTTATCGTGTAACTTCCCCGTGGTCGAGGGGATAATTACACGCTCGTTTAGAAAGACAGAGAGAGAGAGAGATGTCCTGAGCTCAAATCCCATTTAAGGCAACTCATGTTTTTATTTATTTTTGTTTTTTTGTTGTTTTTTTTTCAAGCCAAATAAACATTGAAATGAATATCAGTGTTGCAATAAGCATTATAGCCAATTTACTACAGTTATAACACTGGAAACAGCATTGGTGGCACTATACAAAAACAAATTGGTTTGTAATCTCATAACCTTCACCTTTCTGACATTCTGAGACCAAAACAAATTCAGCGCCTTCTGTGTTTTGATTTAATTAAACATGACCATGATACTGCAAAACTGTACCTTACATATCTTACACTTCACTAAAACTAAAAGAAATAAAAAAACAACAACAACAATAAACACAGCATTATAACAACATTTCTTTCTATAGAACAATCATTTGAAACGCAACTACATGATTCTTTGAAGATCGAAGTGTTTAACATACCCTAGGTAATTTTAAGTACTAGTAGGACAATTTCTCCTGAAATATAATGCACAAATACATATTAACATTTGAAGTAAGCATAATGATACATTGCAAAACAGGTCCCAGGGTTCTTGTTTAAATTAATAAAATGTATAACTATGAAAAAAAATCACTCATATTATAATTTAAATTAAATTTTCATATATTTTATTTTAGAATTATTTCAAAGACAGAAATTGAGTGTGTACCGTATCTTTTTAAATAACAGTGTGTTCCGTACCATTTCAACATAACTTTATGAAAATATGCTAAAACATCACTGCATTCACTCGATACATTGGACATAGTAAATATATCAGATTTAACATGTATTTTTCTATAAAATAGTGACAAAAAACATATGACTTGCAAGAAATCGCTTGTTATGACAAATGAGTGTGTACCGTTCCCCTCGGCCCCGGCTATGAGAAGAAAACTGTACTCGAATGTTCACAAAAACCATTCAGAGGTTTACAGAATTTTGATATACCGTGGAAAGCTGATAAAATTACGGGTACTCTGCGCCTTATCTGATCAAAATCGGTTGAGTAATAAATAAATTATGAATAAAAAACATACCTGAATCGGGTGAAAAATCGGCGTGTTCCGTACCCGAAAAGTCACGTGGTATGGCCACATTGTTAATCCTGGTTTCTACAATGCAATGTTAATTTTATGGATGTCACAGAAAATGAAGTATGCCCATTTTTACAAGTTTCTGCTTTAAGTATTTTTATAGGGTATTGCTTAAAATTAGATTATTTGAATTTTTATATACTTAACTTTCAGTGAATGTGATCGAAAAGTATGAAACCCGTAGCCAAAGTGTAAGATCAGAGGAGGAGTCTGGTATGATGCAATTTACATTACGTCATTATATTACGTCATAATTCCATTATGTTTTTTCCCCTCACATTTTTGAAATTTTTAGCTTAAGCTGTTAATATACATTTCTGATGATTTTCAACCCAAAGAAACACTGTTAAGATCCTAGGGAGATGTTCGAGCTTCATTAATGAAGGACAAGCTCAGGTGCCCCTCAGTGCATTATTTTTTATACAAGTATTTCCGAAAGCGGTTTGGAGGTAGCGATCTCTCCATTCGGACGCAAAAACCCTTTTACGGTTTTGATGTTTTCGTTGTCAGAATCGAAAAGCTACATTACATTGAGATTGGCAAATATGGCATGTATTGGTATCGTTGTTTTTAAAGTGACATTATGCTCACATTTAACTTGTATTGAATTAGTTTAATATTTCCAGAGATTGCCTATTATAATGGTGTTTGGCCAATTATTGATATTGAAAACGTTAAAGATAAAATATAAAAATCACCTTAATTATAAAAAAGACTGCCCCACTCTTTTTATAAAAAAATTGAATTTTACGGATACATGTCTAACAATATTTATAGAATTGTTCATGGGTCACAGGAATTATTGATTATTTTCCCATAGTAAAATAAAAAATAAAACACTATTTTCCCATAGTAAAATAAGAAATAAAAAACAATTTTGGCAAAATGTTGTTATTTTGAATTTTACCTGTCCCCTGAAAATTGAAACTTGGATGGGCATAATGTCATTTTAAAATAAAGCCGTTTTTACACCATTATATCTATCATGTCTTTCTTTCATACATTCATTTATTTTCAATAAATAAATTCGTTCGTTCGTTCGTTCATTCATTTATTCATTCATTTATTTATTCATTCATTCTTTCAGAAGAGAGATGCGATGAAGAGTACAATATAACGATACCTTGTATAGATGTGCCTGATAAGCGAGGTAAGTCAATTACCAACAAGTAAAATGGTTTCCTGCGGGGAACATTTTTCATGATACAAAGATATTTCATTTAACTATTTTCAACACCGTTTTGGCAGAGGGGAATAAATAAACGTTTATATCAGGAATATAGTTGACAATAATCGATCAACATAGAAGAAGGTCTTTCGAAACTGGTGACCGTTGATGACCGGAGAAGGTCGAACATAAAACAATTATTTCTTTTTAAGAAAATGATTAACAAGGTCTACCATATTATGAATAATTAAAAGCAAAAAAAAAAAAAAAAAAATAAAGTAAACACACAAGTTTACGCAGAAAATATATTCTATTTATTTTATGCTTTTCAGTGGATTACTGATTTATCCGTGAAAATTATATTTGGTAATTTCACAGTGAAAATTATCAAAATATAATTTCACTTTTTTCAATGACGAAACTACTTTTTTAAGATTTTCCCCATGTGGTACCTCAATTTTATTTTTGTTGACAATTCCGACAATGTCAGGCTGTTTAAAGAAAAAGCAAAGCTGAAATTGATAAATACCTTAAACGTCAAAGTAATAAAAAGAAGAAAACTTACTTCTATTCATTCAAATTCCAATCACCAAATTTCGTCTCTAAATTTTTTGTTTCATTTTTACAGTCTGAAAAATACATTCCTTCCACATGCAAACTGCTCTTGATGACATTTGGGCATATTAAAATATCCTACGAGTAGGAACTGCCGTATGCTTTATGAAAAATTGAAAAGCAATGACAGCTACAGCTCGTAGAACAATTAAACCTCCCAGCGTTCCGAGCAAGTTCCAAGTCTTCCATTTTCATAGCTGCTTTTTTCATGTTTTCACATCTGTCAACACTTATTTTTTGTCTGTTTCAATCCTCAAATATGTTTTCTTTCTTTTAAAAAGGTGTATGACTAACAATTCCAAATGATATCCCTCTGAATCAAACACAATTATTTTCCTCCCGTGAAATACACAACTTTAAAAAATGGCTGCCGCTTACATTTAACAAAGCCAGGTCTAATATAAATTCGCAGTAAGTAACAGAAATATGGATGGATGGTTGGAATTTTCTCCTACACGAATTGTTTGTTTTTATTATTAAAACAAGCGATCATTCATATTTTTTAAACAACATAATTAATATCACTGTCATTTAATGTTGATTGTCGGACTTATTTTTTAGCTCAAGACTTTTTGTTTTTAATGAGAAATTCGCACAAAATGGGGCTCTCAATGGGGAAACAGATTTTAATATTTATGTTAATATTATGGAAATTTCGTTTAAACTTGTTTTTTAGCATAAAATAAAAAGAAAATTTGTTTGTTTGTTGTGTAAGATGTAATTTTATTTCATCTCGTGAACTTTAAAAACAGTATTCTCACTCGTGGCTACGCCACTCGTGTGAATACTGTTTTTAAAGCCCACTCGATGAAATAAAATTTCATCTTACACACAAACAAACAAATATCCTCTATCTATTATGGCAGATTCCACTACGAATATTTTAATTTTGTAGATTTTCAGTATAAACAATTTATTGTTTGTAAAATTTGAGATACATATATTAAAGAAACAATGATAATTTTCAAATAAATCATTTAAGTTTTTCCACCTTAAACGGTAAAATAATTATAGAAAATTAGAAATATCACGTAATAGGTTTTTGTTCTTAATTAGGTTTAATTCAGACTAATTCCTTAGAGGTAATTCCGTAAAGTAACGACAAACAGTATTAAGCCAGGTTATCGAAAAGGTCAATTAACCAATCGTGTACGGTTTACAGATCACATGCTCCTCCATGTACCGAAAACTGGTCACGTGCTCCTCCATGCCTCAAAAGTAAAACGCGTACCAATACCCTGCGGTCTCCGGACCGCAGGGAATAACTCTAAATTAGTCCCGAAAAAGAACGTAACTTAAATTACCTCCTCTGACAAGTTTTGTCCAAGTAAATACAGGTGAATAATTTAAATAATTTTTGAACGAATTTTCGAAACTATTCATTTTTAAAAAAATTAAACGACGTCATTTTGAATGTGAGTTGGAAATTCTTCCTGAACCAACTACAGAGGTGAATGGATTGCAAGCAGTGTTCAAACATAATTATATTGATTTTCAATGATAACATTTTTCTTCGTCTCCAGCTTTCATGCAGTGTGCACTCGATGAGGGGGAAAAGGCTGAGCAGACCTTTGCCAGAATCTTCAAAGGTAAGCACATCAAACTAAATTATGATGAATATTTAATAATTAATACCAATATTTTATGTGTAAGGAATGAGCCAAAATGCCCCCAATATTAATATGAGGAGTCCATTTTTTTTGAGAAATTACATTTAACAGACGACTTACCTAATTTATATATTAAGCGCATAGCAATCCAAGTTGACCGATGGTAATACATTATATTGTTCGTTAGGCATCATGTCTTTTCTGACTTCAATTTAACATTTTTTAATCCAAGTACAATATGTCAGTGGCGATCTTAAAATTTAATTATATCTATTTTACAATGTTGAGAACTGATTTGTTGTTTGACTTAAGCATATCTATGAATTTATGAATTTGTACATACTGAATCTATGATTAAAATGACGTTTAATTAATCGAATTCTTAAATCATGGTAAACACTGCATATAAGAACAAAATGATACTCGTCTTCAATCTCAAAGCATAAACATAATTTACAACGACCCAAGTGTGGACAGCCGGATACTTAAACCACGTGGTCAGCTCTCCACCTTTTAGGCGTAGGGTACACGTGCTTAGGTTTCAATTTTACTTGATGGAAGACAAATTAAGATGACAAACACGTAACTGTTATATTTTTTAAGAAAACAATGACGACAACAAAGACCTTTACAGTGAACGGGAGATGCGTTTTGTTCAGAACTGTAAGTATGTTTGTATTCTCATATCATACATTATGCAAGTATTCCGACTACATGATTTTGTTACTCTGTTTCTCGCGTCTGAATAAAATCCGCTGGTCAAAATTATACGTGTATAGAATACCCCCCGGCATGAAAAAAAACACCCTTGACGTCATTTTAACAAATGCCGTCAAAATACGATTACGTTGTCTTCGACCTTATAAAATAAAAAAAAGTGAATTACTTTTGAGATGTTAAAGATAAATATGAATTAGTAACAGTAAGCAAATTTCAGAAGATGTTTTTCATTTCAAGAGCAATAGAAATGGTTATTTTTAAGAATAAAGTTCATGTATGTCAATTAAAAAAATAGTAAATGACGTTATGTGTTGTTTTCTAATGTCATTGATCATTAATAATAAAGCATAATGAAAGCCGTTTGAGCCCCCTACTGCAGGGATCGGTGTTTTGGCATATGAGTTTGCTTTTGACCGTCTGCAGGTAGAAATCAATTTGAAATTTAAACAGATATTACTAAAAAAACAAAGAAAACACAACCGTTGTATGAAGGTGTTACAATTAAAGTCTAAACATTTGAAATGGACTCAATTCTACTTTATTTTTCGTTTTCGTTTCAAATAAAGACGACTGTGCTACATGTATCAGGATAAAAATTTGACATGTATAAACTTTACTTATTGCTCAGAACGGAGTCGAAAGTTTTTTTGCTAAAACGAAAGACTGGTGGGGACATTTCAACTTCATGAATTCATGATTGCAACTTCACGTATTCACGATATAAGTTGAATTTGTGAAAAAAAATCGTGAATTTATGAATTCAACCTCTTGCATTCACAATTAAAATTTCGCGAATACACGATTTCAGTTGAAATCGTGATTTCGTTAAGCTGAAATCGTTAATTTGTGAAGTTGAAATCATGAATTCACTAAGTTTAATTCGGAAATTTAAATCGTGAATTCATGAAGTTTGTCACTTGGAATCAGTGTTACAACTTTTGTGACAATGACTTTTCTTTGATTTGTTGCAGGTCTTAAACTTTTCCTTTGTTCTTACTAACCCATTATACTCAGTTTACTTCAATGGGCATTTGAAAACTGTATTTATATATAGCAGTACAGTTTTTTTCATTTATTCTTTATGGAAAAAATTCGACTGCTATTTTTTCGCACCTTGTATATGTCAATGTTTATGTTTTTCACAGAGACTCCAATGGGGCAGTGGTAACGAACATTCCCATTATCATAAAAAAATGGAATCAATAAAATAAAATGAATTAATTAATCAATTCAATGATAAACATAAACAAAGATAATTTTTGCAATAAAATTTACTCTCATTTAATCGAAAGGTACATCCGCTGAATGAATTATTTCCACTGAAAAAAGCACTTTAATCTTGAATCAATATTGGTAACAGTTTACAATCCGCCTCTAACATTGGATGGCTTTTGTATATCTTTTTTTTTGCGGCAGCGAAAACAATTTGAAAAAAACATCCTTATCATAAATAACTGTAATGTAGCTAACGATTTATTTATTTATTTCTATTACAAAAAAATAAAACAGTATGCCATTGCGATAAAACAGTTATAGTAACGTTATATGAGAGGATATAACACTGACTGGACGACATCTCGGGATCTTTCTTGCGGCCTCGCCATTTTTTTCACAGAAACATCCCCTGATGTCGCCCCAGCCAGTGTTATATCCTCGCAACTAACTCGTTTCATGTACTATAACTATTACGTATACACGTTTTACTAAGCCTTATCGATATAATAGTATAATTATTAACTCTTACGTTTTTTTAAGTAAGAGCATCTGACCTTGTGTCCTTGAAAGTGAAAGAATACACAGACATGATAGTGGAGGAAATGGGATACCTTCGCTTTAAAGGTATGGTATTGGTTTCATAATACTGCAAGTTTGTAACATCGCTTTTCATTGGTCATATACGGGCAGATAATCTTAAAAGCCATTCTTGCACTAAGAATATTTGCCTTTTCTTAAAACCGTCAACCGTTCTCACTTCGGACTTGAAATATTTTTTACTATAATTCTGGGAGGAATGTCTGCTTAGCATGTTTGCAGAATTATCCCCCTTTCTTGTGTTGCTTAAATAAGCAGCACTGAGATCAGAGAAGCATTCTGTTCGCGGACAGGTCTTGTTATAACTGCACGAAGTAGTCATTAAACTTCAAAAGTATCAATAAATTTGACACATTACTCCGCAAACCTACATATTTTAGTGTACTTTATTTTTCAGATGCAGTTAATTTTGAAGACATGACGGAAGGTAAGACCATTTTCGTCTTAATGTCTTTTTGAATACATTACTCTTACCTTTTTACATATACTTTGTAACTACTCATTTTAATTACAGATATACGATATAAGCGAAATTATATGCACGAATAGCGTTTACCTTTCTTTCTTACATTAAATAGCAGATCTAATTTGTTTATTTAGGTAATGAATTTTATTTGCTTTGGTGACTTTGAAACATAATAATAACATAATTGTCACAATTAATTCCAGGCAAGTTAATATCAACTTCTGCTTATAAATCATTTGAAATGCTTTTGAAAATTACACAATGGTTATAAAACTGTAAGACATAATTTTTGTTTCAATTTATCATATGATTTCTATTTTAGAAACAATGCAAGAGCTAATGGGTAAATATACGTGTTTTCTTTAATTTCTTATCATTATTCTTTTTTATTCTTTTTTCTCTTATTTGTTTTTCTTTCAAGACATACTGATATCTCTAGAAACATTCAGAAAAAAGTGTTATGTACGTTTTTTTTTTAACAAATTCAATACTAACAGAGTCACACAAACTTAGCTTTATCAGATACGCCCCGGGCATATTATTTGTCCATTTTACCTCAAAATCTTAGAGGTGCTTGTAATTTTATTTTCTTAAAAGTTTTTTCTTTAATTTTAGTGTACCTTATAGTATCTTAAAAGTTACTCATTAGCCAATAACTTGAACCATCTTTTTCATGTGTTGCTTTTTGGCATTAAGTACAGTTTGACTGGAGTCAAAAAACTACTTTGTGTACATTTTGCTACCTTTTTGACAAATTATTTCACATTTATCGCTAATTAATCAGGTAACAAACATCTAACATTCTTTTAACCATTATTTTAACATTGTAAAATTCATGTGCCCTTTCTAAAGAAGTAAATATTTATTTGTTTCTGAGGCATAATGTGCCTTTAAGGTAACAAAGTACGTACATAACCTACTTCCTGTTTCACTTATTTGACTGTATCTGTTTTTTAGAGACTCACTGCAGGTATACAGTCATAAAGCAAGGTAAATAGTATTTAACTTTAATTAAGATGAACTTAGTTTATGCTTAATCATTTAAGGTTGATTGTGTTTGAAACTATAAGCTTTTAATCCATTCCTGGAACCAATCACTAGCAACAAGTATTACGAAATGAATGAAATGAAAAGTTCCATGCCCTGACGGAGTTTGAACCAACACAATCAGCAAACTTTACTTCATCTGTTCACAACAAAAGTTTATATCATTTTATAAGTTTATTTTACTGTTTAAATTATGAATAAGTTACATGTAATATTGATATGAGAACAATTTGTAGTTACAAACATAATTTCTGTAACAGGCAAATGATACCATAGATGCACAAATGATTCATATAATAGGTAAATAAATGTTTTAACATGCTAAGATTATAACTTTGAATAAAATGATATAGCTGGAATCCTTGAAGCATCTAAACAACAAAGCCTTGATAAAACCATTGAAAATTTCTTTCTTTACAGAAACCTCACAGAGAATCGAAAGCATCTCATTCAACTAGACTTTATCACGTTTTAGACATCTTTAATCTGGAATGAGTGATTGATAACTGCCTGCTACGTATACCATTACGAGAATTGTCTTTATGATTTCCTGTTTTCTTTCTATCATAGAGACGTTTTATATAAAATATCATATCTAAACATTGTGAAACAGTTGTTTGTTTACACTATATTTTAGATGGTCAACATTAAACATTAATTATTGAATCATTTAGGATTATTTAAAACTCTTATTATACTACGAATAAACCTTTCTCTTCTGCAGCACATGCTTTTGTGTGTTATTTTATTAATTTGTTGCCATTTTGTAACTCCTGTTTCTATGAAAAACGTCATACAAGTCTCAAAGCGTTGGCTTATTTACAAACATTAACGTCCTCAATTTGTTTGCTATTGTAACATTTGTCCATCGGACTGGTAAAATCTCTCAAGTCTTCTCATGGTTTGGAACTCTTTAAACAGTATAATATAGAATGACTGATCTTACAATAAGTACAGGCTTATAAACCATGATTCATCGAGAGCATGGAAGACCAAACGCAAATAAAAGAGACTCGCTGATTCTGTTTAATTTGGTTTGTTCCCCAGTAATTATAAAGAGTGCAACGTTTCTCTGCCCCCTAGCACCGGCTTAAACAATGTTCATTTCTTGATTAAAATCAATGATGTAAAAGGGCCGGAACAATATAACAAGCCAGTAACTACTATGCACCAAGCTCTGGAATGAAGCAATCTACTTACCTATTGAGATTAATGCAATGATTTTGAGTTTGTTTTTTTTTGACAGAACGGGACTGGAAATAATCTCTAGATTAATGTTTCATTTGAGGATGGTCTAGACCAATAACTTATGTGCAAAGTTTCAGATCATTCGGTCTCTCCGTTTTTCCAAAATAATAATTTTAATTGTGGAAAATAGCCATAATTGTAAAAAGTGTTGTAACGTTTTTGAATGTAACGGGCTTATCATATAACACAAATACGATTTTCAATATGTATATATATCTTTTTGTTTAAAATGCCCCAGCTGATCTATGTAAAATCATTTTTTTTTGTTTTAAGGCTTCCCTTTAACAACCGGTAGACATTTTGAACAGTTTCTACAACCATATTCATACAATATAAATAATGCACTGTTTTATAAAATCCTGAATTAAGGTGAAAAAAAATACTAAAATTAGTCAATAAGTTCCAGCAATAGTTTGCTATTTGTTTACATGTTTAGGTTAGACCGAATTATCGTATACGTTCTGTGTGTTCGAGGTTATAAGGCGAAGTTTGACAGAAAGTGCTGAATAACCGCCTGTGGAACGACTATGATATTTCACGAAGGAAATCTGTAGATTTGGTGGTATTTTTAAATTATGTGGTACAAACAGGACAAGACAGTTTAGCAACGGAAAACACTGAGCAATATATCTTGAGTGTCGGTGTACCGGACATTTATGAGCCGCGTCACGACAAAACCAACATAATGGGTTTGCAACCAGCATGGATCCAGACCTGCCTGCGCATCCGCGCAGTCTGATCAGGATCCATGCTGTTCGCTTACAAACCCAATAACAACTAGAGAAACTGATAGCGAACAGCATGTATCCTGATCAGACTGCGCGGACGCGCAGGTTGGTCTGGATCGGTGCTGGTCGCAAAACCAATATGTTGGTTTTGTCATGACGCGGCTCATATGTCACGGAACGCATATGTCATATTCGGTCGAATAAATTACACCATATACCTTTCTGCAAATTTGGTCAGATTTATATGTCAGTCTCAGTATATATAATTATAAAGTCCACGCCGCCTTGCCTATCATTTTACCAGTAAGATGACACTGTGTCAATACATAGTGACTGGCTTTGTCGAAAATATGAACTGAATATTTTGGAAATTAATATATATTGACTTGAAGATAAAATATCGACTTTTCATGTCCCAACTCTAACTGGGAGGGGGAATTTAAACATTTTACTTGTTCCGCGCGCCTGTGCCGGAGTACGTGCACCTTTCCGTCCTGGAATCCTTAGTGTTGCTCTATAAATACTTAATCTAGAGGTCATGAAATTTTACATGAACGATGCTCAGCAGTATCTTATTACGCACCTCGGATTTCGCTATTCGATTCGGGCAGTCATGCCAGAGTTATTGTATTTGACGTAGTCAAATCGGAAATAGTCGACTTGCGTCGCGTGTAGCATCAACAGATTTGAACTAGGGGCATTGTCATGAAACTTGCAAGTTTATCTTACGACTTTGACATGTACTTTACAAATGACGTTATACCATACGCTTATACGCCGTGACTTAGATAAAAGCAAATTTCAGAACTTTTTAATCACGAAAAATCGATTTTTGAACATTTTCATAAATCATTTTCTAAACGCTGCAAACCAGATGTATAACATTACAGTGGTGCGCACGAGAGGAGATAGTATGGATAGCGTTCTGTTCACCCCAAATCGGGTCTCGACTATGTTGACTCATTATGCCCCCACAATGTGGGAGCATATAGCGTTGCACTTGTCCGTCCGTCCGTACGTACGTACGTCCCGAAATCTTGTGAACGCAACTCCTCTTAAACCTGATGGCAGATTTTGCTTAAACTTACAGGGATGAACAACCTTAATTTGTAGATGGTAGTAAAGGAAGGAATTTTCGCTGCGACCAAATTTTACAGAATTATGACCCTTTGTTGATTTTTTCACTATATACTATGTAGAAATTTTGTGAATGCAACTCCTCTTAAACTGGATGGCAGATTTTGCTTAAACTTACAGGGATGGACAACCTTAATGTGTAGATGGTAGTAAAGGAAGGAATTTTTGCTGCGACCAAATTTAACAGAATTATGGCCCTTTGTTGATTTTTCACTATATACTATGTATAAATTTTGTGAACGCAACTCCTCTTAAACCGGATGGCAGATTTTGCTTAAACTTCCAGGGATGAACAACCTTAAGGTGTAGATGGTAGTAAAGGAAGGCATTTCGCTGCTACCAAATTTTACAGAATTATTGCCCTTTGTTGATTTTTTCACTATATACTATGTAGAAATTTTGTGAATGCAACTCCTCTTAAACCGGATGACAGATTTTGCTTAAACTTCCAGGGACGAACAACCTTAATGTGTAGATGGTAGTAAAGGAAGGGACTTTTGCTGCAACCAAATTTTACAGAATTATGGCCCTTTGTTGATTTTTTCATTAATATATACTATGTAGAAATTTTGTGAATGCAACTCCTCTTAAACCGGATGGCAGATTTTGCATAAACTTCCAGGGATTAACAATCTTATTGTGTTGATGGTAGTAAAGGAAGGAATTTTTGCTGCGACCAAATTTAACCGACAGAATTATGGCCCTTTGTTGATTTTTAGTTTTCAACTTGTGGCACATGTAGTCCAAAAAATATTTGACCTAGAGTCATAAGATTGACAGAACAGTGTCGTGTGGGGGCATCCGTGTCCTATGGACACATTTCTAGTTTTATACCAGCACTGGTTGGTTCCAGGAAGCGGACTCTAAAGTGATAAATATAAGTTGAAAGAATGTGTTTCGCAATCAAACATAAATATATATGTTTAAACTATAAGCTTGTAGATTTATAAAGAGTCCAGGAATTATTTTGTTCAAGCAGCTAGATAAAAAACAATATATTTTAGTGCAAGACGAATATATGTCCTTGTTTACAGGGAAATTACAGTACGATACTCACGAAATGTTTGCGCTTATTTAGTGAAATATTTGTTTATTATATAATTTAAAAAAAAATCGATGAAATATTTGTTTACTATACACTTTTTAAAAATTCGGTGAAATATTTGTTTATTATACACTTAAAATATCGACGAAAAATTGTTTATTAATCAATTTTTAAAAAGTCAGTGAAATATTTGTTTATTTTACACTTTTAAAAAAATTGGTTGAAACATTGTTAATAATATGCGTTTATAAAATTCCGTGAAATATTTGTTTACTACACAATTTTAAAAAGTTCAGTGAAATATTTGTTTACTATACACTCTTAAAAATTCAGTGAAATATTTGTTTACTATACACTCTTAAAAATTCGGTGAAATATTTGTTTGTTATACACTTGTGATGATGATAATGATGATGATTATGCTGCTGCTGTTGATGTTAATGGAGATGATGATGGCGGTTGTGGTATTTTTGATTCCGTCATTAGATTATTTTTTATAATAAACGGTATTGTGCAAGACAGAATTAATTAATTAAAAAATCCACATGTGACGTATACGTTCGTATTTTCAATTTTAATGCACTTTTTTGGTAAGTGACAAATACGTTTTGGTGAGCTTGGCACCAAAGTTGACTGGACCATAGCCTCTGTTACAGCATGCTCAATCTTAAAATCCCTGTTACCATGGTAACGGGGGTCTCAAAATTGTCAAAAATCACTATTTTGCATTGTTTTTCTTCCATCAAAACTGATTTCAAAGTGCTGCAACTTCTTAATTGATTAAGACAAATTTAAGGGCTTTTCAGCGTTGGTTACACGTTACCTTACGATCGATTTGAGGCCATTTTTTAGCCTGCCACATGTCCAAAATTTCTTTGCGATGAGTGGGGAGGGGGCTGTCGCCTCCCTTCAAACCCCCGAAACAGAAGGGGGCAAATCCACCCTTCTGGCAACCCTTTGATGTACCTTTTTGATAGGGGCGGCGCCGAACAAGTGATTTCTTTTTATATCAACATTTCTCAAACGAAAAAAAAAGTGTTTGGGACCTAAATAGAGCATTTGTTCACTGTCAGAGGCCTTAAAAGGGAGGAGGGGGTCGAAAAGCCATCAAAACATGTCTAAATGAGGTTAAAGGTTACAAAAAAATGATGAAAAACCTTTGAATTACACAAAATCTAGTTTTTTCATGTTAACTCGTGGCCTTTCACCTAATTTGGTGAACAATTGTTGTTTTGTGGCATTTTTTTATTTTTTAGTTAAAGGCTTTAGAAACTGTTTGAACATTGTCAGTGAACGCTCGTCAAATGTATGATTTTATCGATAGTGGAAGAATAAAGGTATATAACATACAGGCTTGAAAAATGTAATTGTTAAAAGAGTGTTAGTTAATGGACCAGTCCCGATATTGTTTTTTCTAATAATTGTTACAACACACAAACACATATATACACCATTAAAGACTACGTTTTGCTATTGTCAATTTTTAAAAGCGCAGAAGAATATTGACATAAAATATGGCACATTTCATTAAACAAGCATGGTTTTATCTTGACAAACATTTTGTCAATACAGTGACGGTAAT